ATAATTGACCATAATTTATAATGAATATTTACCAGTGTCAAAAAAAAATATCTCTGCATACTCTTACTATGTAAGTAGTTAATTGACATTTATAGGAAAGATTCATTTTATTATCATAATTAAGAAATCTAGCAAACGCCACGCAATATTATTGTTGCATTTCAGGAGTTGTCGGATGGACGTCAATTTGTTGGTGACTTTGTGAAAAGTATGTATAACATTCTGGGAATCAGTGAATATTTCTACCGAACTAGAATGGGGTACGACGATAATAGCCGCAAGTAAAGCATATATTTCAGCCTTAGTAGACAATGGATTAAAAGATAAAGCACCCGTAAAACTGATAGGTGGATCAGATGTTGTCATATTGTAATCAGACGTTTCAACCCAAGCAAATCCCATTTGAGTAGTGGGATGTAATTCTCGATCATATTTTGAGTAAGAACCATCTGTATAAAAAATAAAATTAATTTTGTTTTCAAAATTTTCAGCTAACTTAATCAATTGTGAAATAGTATCAGGATGTCCTAATAAAATATTTTCTATAAAATAAAATGATGAAGGGTCTAAATTAATATTTAAAAATTTGCGAGAAGAATTTGATGGAACTATTTGGATCTGGTAATAAGGGGATATTTGGAGGCAAAACATTAGGAATAATTAAATTATGTTTAGAAATTTCTAATGCTAAAGTACGTAAAGATAAAAGAGGATTGATAGGAAAAATAAGTAATTTTTTGTTAAAAGAACTATTGATATTTGGATTATAAGTTTTTGAATGAACTTTAAAAATAACTAAATGTTGAGTTTGTGAAAGTATGATACATTTAGGGTGAACATCACCACTAAAAGGAACACCGTGGCCGCAACCACCAGGACAAGGACGTAGTGCTGGAATTTGTTTTTTAGGTGTTAAATGTGTACGAGGGTCTATGTCTAAAGCTGGGATGTAGTGAAGCAAGTATCAACTTTACACATTATTCAAAACACACATTTATTTACATCACGTGACAAGTACATGAAAACGTAAATGTAAATACAAATAAAAAATTAGTTGCACGACATTATGCTTAGAAGTAAATGGTCCTACGCTACGCTCTGGACAATTAAATTAAAATACTTAGTTATCGCTAATTATGATAATTATCAATGAAATAATCTCTCAATTAATATCGTGAATCGCTATTAAAAGACATCACGGAATTTTGACCGAATAAAATTTGTTATTTATTTTTAACATATTAATTTACTTACAATTTTTGCCATTGTTTATTAATATTTTGTAAAGAAAAGCTGAAGACTGTTTTTTAAATAAAATATAATCCTGGTGTAACTGAACTAAGAACCTGCGGTCATTCTTGTTACTTACGTCAAAACTTCTAGGACAGATAGAGGCATTTATTCGATATGCAAATCTTCGTCGATCTTTTTTAAATCAAATCAATTACTATTTAACTATTATTAATACTGTCACCAAGTACTTTATACGTTTCAAATAACAATTCATAGAATTGACTATGTATGAGAAGACTAATTAATTCATTTATTCACTGTTAATAAAAAATCTCTTGGCACCGGAAATTTCTTGGGAAAAATGGATCGGCAGTTTTACGGATTTTTGATTTGTCAATGACTTAGTACTAATAACACGTGAGGAGTTCGTGAACTGAGTCCGGAATCATTAACTATTATTCATAAATAGAAATACAACCCTATAAAACGCAATTATCTGAAAAACTCCGTGAATATGATACTACATTTACAGAAATGACATGAATAAAAAAACACGGAATAACTAAATTTTTTACTAAATATTATATATTTAGATTACCCTGTATAAGCTAATTTTGAGTTGTATATTGTAACGTGTAGTATGTCTCTGTAATTTATTATGGATTGTTATCTTAAAATAGATTGGTTTAACCAGTGATCATGACAATTAAACAATAGGAATGTCTCATGTTAAAATGCTCCATTTTCTATTCATTGTTTACGCTAAATTAAGATATAAACTTTTATGATGAATATCTTTCAATACTGTTCAGTTGTCTTACAAATAATAATGGTTTCATGTCTCTAGACACAATAGATGAGGAATAATATGTCAAAATGTCGGCAAATTGGCTTGTCTATTGCGCCATTTTGCATCCAATGATCATAGAAAGATGAAACATAGCTGAGTGATAGACGAAGAATAATAATACACCAAAATATCAAAATTTTCTGCAGCAGTGATACTAAAATTAGGATAAATTTTAATAAATTTAAATATTGTGTGACCATAATTTACGATCCCAGTGCTTATGGTTTTATTGCTTCCAAAGTTTATTTGTACAAGGTAATAGACGTTTTACCACTAACTTCTTTGATACCAAACGCATGTGCATACCAAATACAAGCTTTTAAAGAGAGACGTAAAACAATTTTTCCATTTAAATTTCTAATTAACTATTAATAGACTAGTTCAAATTTCTATAACATACTTTTTTCGGCATTTTTTTTACATATGTGAATAAAACAATGCAGATCGGTTTTTGAAAGTAGTATAATAATAGCTAGACTGAAATGCTTTGAAATTGTATTACTGACAATAATCCCCCACCCCCTTTTTTTTGGGGGATTTTTTTTTCTTTTTTTTTTAAACACGTTTGGTTTTTTTCTTTTTTTTTTGAAACACATTTGTTTTTTGTTTTTTTTGAAACATGTTTGGTTTTTTTTTCTTTTGTTTTTTTGAAACATGTTTGATAAAAAGGAAAGTTATTAATAGTAATAAATAATCAAGATATAAATGATGAGAAATATATAAATGTTCTGTAATCCCCCCAAGTAAAAAATTTAACATTTTTCAAGTCCCTTGTTAAAAATGTTGAATTTAAAGGGGTTGACCACCTTTATTATCTAATATCCACTTATTGCATTTTCATCTCATCTCAAAACATATCATCGCGAGATATATATTACATCTCAAAATACATCCCTCCAAGATATATCACCCCAAGATATCATTCATTATGAAGAACTGAAGGCCTTCGAAGATAAAGATCCAGCATGCATATTACCTTATTTCCATCTACGATTGATAAAATAAATAATTACACTCTTCCTGCGGAAACAATATTGATTTCTGATAATTATACAATGTTGTATTATGCTAAAACAACAAATGATATTAAGGGAAAATATGGCATAATAATTAATTACAGCAATGAGTCTATAAAGTAAGTTTAAATGATAGTACTTTTTTAGCGAATATATTTAGGAAATGCTAACGGATTTGTTGAACATAGTATATATCGAAAAACCAGATAAAGAAGGAATAGCGGCATCACGTCAGTTTAATAACATAGTACTGTAAGTAAGTATTTTTACGAATAACAATTAGTTTTTTTTTTGAGATATTTATATTAACTTTTTCATCTTATTTTAGATATTACGTGAATTTCATGCACTAAACCTGTTATCGTTTACCTTAGTATGGTCTGGTGCAATACACAAAATCACTACCTAAATTGGTAGTATTACACAAAAATCGACAAAAGGTTCCCACCTTCAACGTTATCAACAAAAACACCTTTTTTTTCTCCATGGATACGACCAAAACTTTTTAACTAGCAACGAAAAAAAAAATGAATATTCACGTCTACCAATAATTTTTAGATATTTGACAATGCCAGAAACAACATCAAGACTTATCACTAGTACACAAGGAGATTGCTACAGTTCTTGTTATAGGGAGGCAACAGTTGCGCTGAATATAATAAAAATGAGATCTTACCACAAAAAAACCACGGCCGACCAAAAAAAGAACTTAACTGTATTGTTGTTGAGCTTATGTTATCTCTGTAAATATTTCCGATGCCCACTTATTATGACAAAAACTTGAGGAAATGGCCATATATTTCAAAATGGACATTACTTCATATACCACCTTACCATTGTGAACTACAACCGATCGAGGGAGTTTGGTCTACTGTATTCTCGCTATTAGAGACAAATTATTGTATGCTTTTAAGAAAAAGGTTACCTCTAAAGTTATAGTTAGGTTTTGGAAAGGTGTCTTGATAAGGCGAAAGAATATAAAGATTTATCATTTATGTGATGGCCGAAAATGAAAATGAAGATTCCGAAGTTGAAGAATATTAATAAAAAATTTTATATAATTGAGAACTTTAATAAATTTACATTTAAATATGTCTTAAATCCTAAGTTATAAATAAAATAATTTAAAAAATTTACTTTAATTTTAAGAAAAAATTTTTTTATTAATAGCATATTGGTGTATCAACTTTTTTGCACCGAACCATAGATAGTTTAGATTTTCATTTAATAGATGGAGGTTTTGATTTTATGTATATTTTAAATATTAATGAAACACTGAAACAACAGGATCATCACCGAAAAATTAAATAAATAATACCATTAAGTAATTTGATTACAAATAAGAATTAACAAATAATACGGACGTTGATTAAAAAAGGGTCACCAATCAACAATTTCGATCAAAATATTAAAATTTAATAATTAATAAATTATTTTTTTAAGATAAAAGTTTCACTACTTAAATAATCAATTAAGCAAAGAAGAGAATTTAATGGTATGTTTAAATATTGTTAATATTATTGAATTTAAATGAAATATATATTTATTGTTTTTAAACTGACTATTATTTTTATAGGTGCGATTTCAGTTCTGGATTAAATCTCATTTTCAGTAATACCAGGAACTTTCAATTTTTTATCGCGAATCATTAATATTTACTTATTTCGCTATATATCTATATAGTATACATTGATCTGTATTAATGGTGATAATTTTGGCAATTCACGCAATTTAAATCATGAAAGCTTCTACCAAAAATGTCAGTTTTATAGTTCGTACAAGGAAATATTCAATCAACGTACTCAGGGTTTATACAAAATTCGGTACACTCACTGATTTTGTATTTTTTTTAAATCTATCAATTCTATCATGAAGAAACAAAATACTTATTCATATCAAATATGCCTAGTAGTTCAAGTAAAAGTAAAAAATGAGCAAAAGACTGAAAATATTCGTGAAAATTTAATATGGGTCGATATATCCAATAAAACGAGTTGGGTTTGGAATTATTTTAAGTTGGCAACAGATGGAAAAACTTATTGAAACTATTGATGATGTAGAAAAAACTTGTGATTTTTCTTGTGCTTATAATGAAAGCGGTATGTATGACTACAAAAATTTTTTATATATTTAAAGAAAATAATATTAATTATAATACTGTATATATTATAGGATCAACTTAAAATTGATGGCGAATTTAAAAAAGTGACACCTTACAAAGAACCTAAACAAAAAGAATTAAACGAAGTGAACGGAAATGGTTTTAGAAGAATGATGAAAAAAGTCAATCCACAATTTTAACTACCATCAAACATGGTAATTAATTTTATCACACGTAGAATTCATCCTTTTTGGCGCGTCTAAAAAATCCTGAAGGACAAAACTCTGCGATATTTGAGACCGGTTGTTAATACAACATTCATATTATTAAAGGTTAAAAATACACCACATTTAATAATTCTAAAGTAAGAAATTTAATTTAATATCATTTTATTTATATTATTTAGAGATTAATTTAATTTTCTTACTTATTATTATTTAGATAATATTCTTTATTTTACCTATTGTAATCAATATTTTATTAGCCATAAATATTTTTGTATCTGAAATAGTAATGAATCCATCGTTCACTAATAGAGTTTTTAGCCGTTGACATACTAGTATTAACTTACACTTTATCATCGGATTTATTTGGTCTTAAAATATTTTCGGCTGCTTTAACTCAAAGGTCAAAAAAAAATAATAGTATTGGATAGATTGTCGTTAGAGACTAGGTAAATAAATGTAAACAAGAATTTTTTGTTCTAAGAAATACCAAAGGTTTTCAATGGCAATCTAGAATAGATTTTATGAATTATAAACGCTCTTTGGATTGGAGGAATTTTTTGGAATTTAGATTGGGAGAGAGGTATTAGGATTCACTGTTCAAGGTCGATTACGCTTTCAAGGAGATTCAGATTTTGGAAGGCTTCTTCCCCTCGGTTTTTTGGGGCTATTGGATTTCTGTATAACGTTCAGAACTGTCATTTTTTATGGCCAAGCGCAGAGTTATTCCTGTTAAGGCAGATTTCCTAAATTTTGTTCAAAAGTAAAGTAAATTGATAAGAAAAAGAGATGATAAAAAAATTAAGTTTTTTTTTTAAGAAAAAATCGAATCGTTTATTAAATGTTTCTTTAATTAGTAAGAAATTTATAGAGGGAAGAATTAGGGAAGAGAAAGGATGAGGGATAAGAAAAGGCATAGAACAAGGGAAAGGGAAAGTACGAAGGAAAGGGGAAAAGTTTCGAAATTTTTAAAAAGGAGAAAGTTTCGATAGTTTATTAAACCGAGTTTAATATAAATCACGTGATGTACGTAATGACTAATTTAATATAAATATCGAAAGGTTTCAAAATATGCAATAAGCCATAAATATATACATTTCAAATAATACGTAAGCATTGATAAATTAAGAAATACATACAAACATAACAGTCATAATTTTGCTATATTTTTTGCATATACTGACAATACCGTATTATAGTAAAATCACAATAATTAAGATAATTGAATAATTGACCATAATATCTCTGCATACTCTCATGTAAGTTATAATGCTAATATATTAATGAAAGAAATAAATGTAAGAATAAGTATATTTTCAAGCGAAGGAAATCTTATTTCATACCTTATTACACCATAAAGAGATAAATTTAATGTGTCTACACGATCATTAAAGATATGTAACTAGTATTTATAATGCCGGCTTTTAATATATTAGTCTTAAGTGAAAACTTACGTTATTTATCGCACCGAAATAAGAATTCCAAAATCTAAATAACAGGAACATTAGAGTCGCATCAAATTAACATTATAGTGATCAGCGAACAATAAATACCTGAAATGGCGGTTGCGTTGTTTGATATATTGTGACTATATCATAAATATGGATTTTTTTTATATTAAAAGTTTTAAAGTAATATTTTTTCATTTTTATAATGTTGACGTTGAAAATGCGGCTACAATGCTTATAATTGCATAGTTAATTTGACACATTTAATTTGGGTTTAATCAACTAATTTTTCTGGAGAGTCAATGAAAAGATTCGAAATGACATTAAATTAATTAAATGATCTGAAATTTATCTACTAATGAATGAAATTCGTAAATAGTGTATTTTTTAGATATATTTATGCTATATATCTTATGTAAATATTATAAAGAATATCATAAATTTGTAAATTAGGCTGTTAAGGATGTACAATTAAATAATCAAATGATTTAGATTTATGTTCATTATTGATATTAATGTATATTAAAAAAGCACTTTTTATTTTAAATTGCTGTAATTGGAGATCTTTTTTCCAGGATCATATCAAATCCGAACAAATTTTACTTTTCGCTTTTTTTTATTTTATTTATTTTTAATTTGATCGGGACCCGTGAAATTGTATTAAATGTGACCACAATGGATTCTTATTGCGGTAAATACAAAATTGTATAAATCATTAAACGCTTAATGTTAATAATTAATAACATTAAAAGAAAGCGCTTCATATTAACAAATAAATATTGTTTTTTTCGTAATTTGTATATTATTACTTAGCCTTTTTTTGAAATAAAAATGCATTAAGCACTTTAATTTCCGTTATCACCCTACAATTACTAGTTCTTAATAATATGTACTCAAACGAGTAATAACCTAAAAAGTAAATAATACGATACTTGAAACGTGTAACATTTTCCGTTATTAAATCTAGTAAATAATATTGATCGTTCTATTATGATTATAATTATGAAGAACAAAAAAGTCGAGAAATAGAAATAGTATTTAATATATGTGAGGGATATTAACAGAATGTATTTTTAGTGAATAAATCAAAAAAAAAGATGTCAAATAATTTGAAAATAACATTATCAAACATTTTTGAATCTTTCGTGTCACATTATGTCTAAATTGAATTCAAACTCGAGAACTATCTATTATTCATCGATATTGATTTTATTAAATTTATTTTTATTAAAAAGTTCTAAAATTAGTTCTTTTATTATTACAGTATCATAATTACAAAAACTCGCTGAAACGTGCGGTAAGATTTTATGATTGGTTTTGACAGTATATTGTTACTTATGATTTTTCGAATGTTTATAATTAATCAGTTCACCAGATATGTTATGTACATACCAACATTTTTGATAATATTTTATCCGTACATTTTAATTTTTTTTTCGATCGCGGAGTTAATCGAAATTGAAAATATTGTGACTCCGATAGATGACGGTAACGAACGATAGATTCTTTGTTTTATTTTCAAATAATAAAAATATTTAGGAGCAATGAACGATCAAATACAACAAGTATAACAAAAAGAATATTGATAATAAAAGTGACACTAATAAATCAATAAATCAATTTTTTTAGAATATGTACTGTAAATAAAATAACTTTAAAAGAAGCAATGTGAATTTGTTGTTTTATTCATTTAATTTCTCAATTGTTGATAACAAGCATTTAGGTGAATGGTGAATTTTCATTCCTTTAAAGAAGGCTACGTACTACGATTATTTCTCTATTGGTTAATATTGAAAATCTGATATTTGAAAAAATAAACAAACACTATACTTTAAAAGCGACAAATTTGCTTAAATTTTGTTGTTATATGTGAACATTTGTTTCAACTAAGAAATACAAATTATTAATAAGCCGTAGTTCTAACTAAAATTTTTATTTTAAAATTACAAAATTACGGTTTCTTAAAGTATAAAAAGAGAGATTAAAATATAAATAAATTTAAAAATTATTTGTATTAAAGTAATGATGATTTTACATTTATAATCAAGTAGTGTTATTAGGTTTTTGACTCTTTGTATTGTTACGCGTATTCTTGCTTATGCTCATAAACGATGAACATCTTTTGATTTATAAATTTACGAGCGTAATATTCATTTAATTTATCCGTGCAAATCAACTTTTTTTTTCGTATAAAAGACTGAGCGATTGTTCTTTTCATTAATAAACGCAAATATGTAATTATTTAATCATAAAATTAATTCTTTTTTGATAACTTAAAACTTCCCCGTTATAATTTATTATATGATGAGCAAGGATCATTGATCACTTCATCAGGAGTTGTATTTTTTGTAGAGTCTATAATGTAAATTTATTATATAAATTTTTATAATCTGTAATACATATAAATAATTTTTTTATTTTTTATATAATTGTCAGGTAGTTTCTTGTGAATCAAAAAATACATTTCAGATGCACTAGACACACATAATTGGTAGGCAACATCTCCACATCTGAGATTGAGAATGTTAACGTTAATAACTGGTATAAGTAGGAACCATGAAAAAAAAAAAATTACGATTACCCATGCTAAAATTTAAGTCATGTTAGAAATAGTAAATTGAACAAACTACTGTATAGTGCGTAAATTAACATGTCCAATCTAACGAACCAATTTAATAATTTATTTCACTAATTTGATTGGAGGAACGATATATTTAAACTAGAAGAGTTTGAAAGGGCATACGCAAAGAATTTTAATAAAGGTTGATATCGCATCACGTGAAGTATCCTTTTCCTTAGATGATATTTGTGCTAAATTTGGCGTTCGAGTCTTCGAGAAATATCTTGTATTGCCTTGTTAAATTTCTCTTTTTGTTATAAGTATCCAAGAGAAATATTTGCGTTAAGAAAATATTAGGGCTTGAGTGAAACCGGGTTTTCCGTAGTTTGAATATAGGCCATCTATCTCAAAGTTCTTTTTTATTATGATACAGTATTTAATTACTGTTCGAATCAATATGTTTATTTAATGTCCTTTAATAAGTTCGAATTGTGGTTCAAACTGTGATATTGTCCGATCTGTTTTGCGGTCTAAAGTCTAAACCACTGTTTACGAACCGATCCTAACAAATACAGTATACTTTCATTGCATTTTAAGATATAACAGATACTGTATAACAGTCATAATATGATATTACTACCATTTTTTTTTTATAGAAGAGTTTCGGTTGAATATTACTTTTAGACACTGTACGTCGTTAAAAGATAGTAATATGATATACTTTTGTAAAGAAAAGAAATGTATACTGTATTATAACAAGTCACAATGAAGAATTTTAATTAATATGAAAATGTCATAATACACTTAACTATCCTGTTAATTTCCGAAAAATAAAATGAGGCTTTGACACTTTTTTACCGAAATTAGTCAACTGCATGGCCACAGTAATAATTATATTCTTTAATCACATGACATTCTCCACAGCCGTGGCGAAGTAGTGTTTTTTTAAAGCCGCATTATTCAATTTGTAAATCCTTTCTTGAATCGGATCCTTTTCTTTTTCTTTCGTGAATTCTGTTTTTTCCCCTTTATTATGGCAAAAGAAATAAATGCGGATTATGTTTATATATTTAGCGAAAATGATGTAATAAAACCAAGCTCTTCAAAATCTTGGTCAACATTATACACTTCTGTAATTGATTTAGGTAGTGATTCAACATCTCCTCCTTCAGAAACTGCTCCAAGTTTATCAACATCAACACCAACAACTCGTCAATCAAATTATGATGATGCTTTACGCATATCTCAATCTGCTAGTTTATCTATCGTTAATCCTATTGCAAGATCTGCTAATATAAGTAGACAATTAGAAGAAGTTTATGTACATGATGAAAAAAGGGGCAAATCACCTATTGCTTCTCCTCGTTTATTAGCCACTAAAACTAAAGGTTATAATGGAACAGCTGATTCTTCTAAGGAAAAAAGTGATATTAAGGATGATACATCGACAGATAATAAATTTAAATTAGAAAAAACTGACTTTGGTGTAATTAGTAAAGATCCCAAATTAAATAAAGAACCAAAAATATTATATGATTTCTTTTTATCAAATAACGATAAATCTGAAATGGCTATAACAATTCATGGTAAATTTTCTATGAAATTTATGACACGAAACCCCGTATATATATTATGTTAAATAACTCGTTTACTCCCTTTTTTTGAAATTCTTTTTTTTTAGGATATCGTACCGAAGAAAAAGATGGGACTACCCATGTAATAAGTGGAAGTCATGGTTATGAATATGAGAAAAGAGATGTTAATACCGTAGAAATAACAGATTTTATTTTTAAAATAGATTTATCTGATCATATTTTATCACAAGGTGAAATTTCTACAATTCCTCCAAAAGATGATGATGATTATGATATTAAAGATAGTAACGATATTATGCAAGTATTAGAAGAATATTGTAACAGTGGCGTCGGATTTAAAGAAATTGAAATGATAAAGGTGAGATACATGAAAATATAAAAAGACTTTAAAGACTTTGTAAGATTTTTCGTTTGTAACATTTCGTTTTGTTCGTTTATAGGTTATAATTTGGGATTATGAACCATTATCTAAAGTGATCGCAACAATAATCAGACAACAACATTATTATAATAATATAAAAATTTCTTATCCGTTACGTAATAATATAGTTAAAGTACAATCAACTTCAACATTATATAGTTTCACAAAAAATAAATGGATAAAATTATTTTGTCTATTAACTTGCCTTTGGATAATTTTTTGGCCTATTTGGTGGTTATATAGAAAATTTTACACTGTTCAAATTAAAAGTGAATTTAGAATGAAAATTAGCACTAAAGAATGGTTCGAAAATAATGTTTCTTATATTGTTAGTAAAGCTAAACTAAATAATGAAGGAGGGAAATAAAAAAATTATATTGTAGAAAAGTGTAAAAATTTTCTAATATTATTATGAAGTAAATTCTTGTACATATTTTCTTTTTGATGTATTTTAAATAGTATATTTCAAGATTTCATACGGCAGAAAAAATAAAAATTGAAAGATTATTTCATTATTTTTTATCTGGACCAAGGTTTAACGTAGCAGCGCAGCCACTATTTCTTTCTTTACAAATGTTAACGGTCCGGTTCGGTTTGACTTAAAGCCAAACCGATAAAAAGTCATTTTGTGATGCACATACATTTTATCACGCAAACTCAACCTTAATGGATCATTTATTGGTGAGTTTAATTCATCTTATAAAAAATAAATAATTTCATTAAACTACACCACCTGTGATCACTCGCTTAACACTAGTATGTTGTTTTCACAAAAACTATGGCGCAAATTATACTTGCCACTGGAATGGAAGCCATTAGACCATTAGTGTCAAACAGTCATAAATTACACAGTATTCCAAAAAGGCAATTTTTGCAATTATTTTTTCAGAATTATAATCATGTGAATTTATTAACTACGAGAAGCTGCGCACGTCTGATGGCGCAGGCGCAGCTCCACAGCCACCCGTCACGTGATACAACAATTATTTTTTTTGTTTTCGAGGCTAAAATTAATGATTTTATCATAACAATTAAAATATTATAACAAGAAATATATGTGATAGAAATAAAAATAGCGATGTGATAAAAATAAAAACTTAAAATAGATATTCAAAATGGATCCACAATGCATCCCTTAATTCGTATTCCCTCTTTGAACTTAGAAGACCTATCTTGGTGGAGTTTTAACAATATTAATATTTTCATATTTGTTGACTATGTGTAATTAGTTTTTTTTTCATATAGTAAATCAATTGTAATTATAATAATAATTACTGTGAAGACAATGGCGTTTCTCTCGAAAAAGTACACACCTTTCTTTTATTTTGTAACGTTTAGTTTCTGGTATCGTAGTTTTCGATCTAGATTCAAAATCTTTAAACCATTCATCCATGAATGCATCTAATTCAAATTGTGGAATTTCAAAACCTACAACAGTTCGAAATGAAGGTAATTCATTAAATGTTTTTATTAAATATGTATAATTTTGAAGGAGTATTGTTTTGGAAATTCGGGTAAAAACGTAAAGTATTCCAAGAAATGATCTATAAATGAATTTTTTATTAATATCATTCTTTAATAATAATTAATAATAATCAATATCATCTAACAAATTAAAGCTTCATGATAAATTTAACAATTAAAAATTCAATAATTAAAGTTTTATAACAAATAATTAATAAAAATTTAACAAATTAATATTCCACGATAATATTTAACAATAAAAGATGATATAAACGTATCATTATTTAAAAAAAAAATAATTTTTAACAAAAATAAATGCAACTCTATAGACAAATCAATGATATTTTAACGAATTATTAACGAAATTAAGATATATGATAAATTAATAATAAAATAAACACAAAAATCGAAAATATATTATCAGTTATACTAACTACAGTACATAATATAATAAATACAAATAAATTATATTACTTTTACCAATAAATTGCATTTTTTTTTATTTTTTTCTAAAGTATAAATACTTTAAAAATCTAGATAATTAACTAACCGGCATTTTTTTGGTAATATCACCTTCCATAATGATTATTTGTATAACTTTCTAAAAAATTTCTTAATATAAAAGCATATATATTAATTACATTAATTACATAAATATTAAGAGAAATTATGTAAGAAATAAAACTGAAATGATAAAGAGATCGTTCTACTTGAGAAGAGAGGCGTGCACTGAAATAGGAGTATAATGTTTGCGATACAAATGATATTCCAATTTGTTGTATCACGTGACAGGTTGCTGTGGCGCTGCGCCTGCGCCATTATGCAACATATTACATCAGTTTTAAAATGTAATCTTATTTATTAGTTATAATATAAATAATATAATACAAAATTTATATCTATCTGCAAAAATAAATTTAAATGTAAACTTATCTGGAATGAATATAGGATTACTATAAATTTCATACTATATTTATATAACAATTAGTCAATTATTAGTTAATCACTACTTATAATAACAAATAACTCTTTTAATTTGAAAATTCAGTAGAAAAAGCATTCAGTTTATTTGAATAAATGAACCATAAAAATCATTACTAAAAATATGTACTTCAATAAAATAAAAATAAAAAATTTATTTAAGTTATATATTAAAATAATTAAAGATTATTAATTAATTTCAGTATTTTGTAATTTTTGTAATTAATTGTAATTTTAATTTTTTTTTTTTAACTTAATATTTAAGATATTTTAAATACAATTGTACTAAATAATAATAATGCAAGAAAAAAATATAGAAATTATAGTAAATCAGTCTTATATTAAATATTAATAATAAGGTTGCTTGCCGAAATCTAGGGGTTTAGGCAAGATGGCGTTTCGCCAAAAAGCGAAATTCTGCTGAAACTATATTAAAGTTATATTAAAAAACTGGTGAAACTTTAGAGAAAGGCGAAACTGCCAAAACTTATTATAAATGCTGAAACTGCCGAAATTCTGCCGAAACTATAATAAATCTATAGTAAAATTTTGATGAAACTAATCGTAGGATTTTGAAGAGGTTTAGACAAGCAACCTTAATTAATAATATATAATAGTTTAATAAATAATCAAGCAGTATTTTTTAAAAACTTTTCTACTTTTTTTATTAATAAATACTACTAATAAAAAAGTAATTAATAACATTAACAGAAAATCTAAAATAAATAACAAATATATTTTGAATTAGCCTTTTAGAATTTTGGTAACTAAAATTTTTATAGTAAATAAACCAATATAGCTATAAATCTAATTTTAATAACAAACTTCAGTATAAATATATTTAAAAGGAAAGAAAAAAAGTTTCATTAATTGAAATTTGAAAGTATATCAAATCCAAATAAAAACTGGCAAAAAAATGCTATTCATATTTTTTTAAATAGGCTTAATTTATATCAAAAAAATATTTCATTTTATTAAGTAATAAAGGTAGAAAAAATTTCAAATATAACCAAATTCTTCTCCTATTGTTGTTTTTAAAGATTTTTGCATTTAATCAAAAAAAATGCATTATTTTTTACTTTATTAGTAGATTAGTAAAGATAATGAAGATTTGTATAATCTTATAAGAATTAAAAAATTTCACTTACATTAAGTTATTGTCTTTTAACTGTAAATTGCAAGTATGCATTAAAAAATAAATGTTTTGTTTTCATAGTAAATAAGATGTGAGCACAGTAGGATGTGTTTTATTATTATTTAATTAACAAATTCTATTCTATTCATCCAATTTTAAGGGCATATTTTATCAGTTACTTTAGTAATAAATAATAATTGAAGATTACAAAATTCCAATTTTATCAATCATTTGAATTATTTCTAGATTTTTGAATTAGTATATACTATACTATTGGTAAAATGTTTTAGATATTTTGGTGCAGCTAATGTTATGTAGTATATCAATGTATATCAATTTAATCTATTACTAAAAATTTATACATATTGAATGTTTTTAAGAATACAAGAAAATATGATCCTAAAAAAAAATTCAATTAAAGCTAGCTGAAAATGTATTAATTGGGTAGACCAATAACTGTAGCCTTGGTGAGGATGTGTGTACCTCGCCATAGGCGTGATGGAGAATTAGGCGGGATATTCGAAGCGATTACCTTCAAAACTTCAGAAATATGATCCTTAACGAGTTAATGTTAAATTAATAAAAAGAAAAGCATTAAATAGTTTGTTGCATTAAAAGGTAATAAACAGTTACTACTATTGACCCTTACTTTGACAATGTAAAACGCTTCTAACACTGGAATTGTTCAGTTTGGGTGACAACATTTGCCGCCAACGACATCCTAGTAATAAACCGTAAAAGGTGTTAATATTACATTAATTATGATAGCTTTACTTAACACTTACAAATTTCGTAATATAATTTGACATTTGCAAAACTTGTCTTAATTGTTCAACTCTGTTATTCCGGAGAAATTTTCACACCACTTTTTTTGGATTACATCTAAATGTGTGAAAGAATTTAGTAACTAGGATGGAAGAGGTTGCTTAGTGTTAACTTTTGCAGTAGTATTGCAGCTTAACAACACTAAACCTTTGAATAAAAAATTAAATCTTACTGAAGAATACTCAAAATTATGCCATAAACTACTGACGATTGGTGTTTGTCTTCGGCAGATTTTATTCTAAATCTCCTGATCGCAGGTGAGATATGCAGGTTTTGTCTGTTCGATGTACATTATATTTGGTAGACATCTATTTTTATCGCAAATATAATATGAAATCGCCACGGAAACTCATGATTCAGATGGAATGCAATAATTACAAGATTTTTTTTTTGAATGTCTTTTTATAACATAAATATGGATTTTTTTGACTTGCTGAATGCTAGCTATTGAAATTCCGAAGCTCGGAGAGATTTTAGCTTTCAAATCCACTGAAAAAGCGCGAAAGTATAGTTAGTTAATGTACGGTGAATGTAACGAAGCATTGATCACATTATGTACTCACATCCTTTTTAGAAGTATCTCTGACATCAATCTTATGAATTGCATCTTCCCATGAATAAAGAATTTTCTTCCTGGCATCTATCTATTTATATATATATATGAACTAGATCCACTTTAGATTCTTCATGTAGCAAACCTAAAATGCTTTATTACCTTCTTCACGATTAATGTAGTAGACAGAACAGATATCGAATTATCATTCTGATTGAACTCCATGAAAGGTTTTTTCGGGTGTGCTTGGTCGCTGGGAAAAAGATCTGCAACATTGGAAGTATTACTTCCATCATCATCTTTAGGTGATATATTTGTTAAATCTTTTCGCTTGATTGTATCACATATAATATGTCAATTACACAATACAATTTGTGTTACAAAGCTTATCACCCTTTTGGTTGCGTCGCTTCTTCCTCTACGTTGATTTTGTGCTTGGATTTCCATGATTCTAGCAGGTGATGTGGCTAGACCATATCATCTTCTCTCTTACAAACTCGTACTATGAAATAGTTCATATCGTTAGAATAGATTACCAGAAAGTTGATGTCATATTCCTGAGCTCTTCATTTTTTGCTAATTTATTAAGATTCTCCTTCATTTTTTGTCAAAGCAAGATAAAGATAAAATTAGTTACCGGTCCGAATAATATATATATATATATATCAACAATCTATCGTACGACGAGGAAACCCAGAGTGAGGAAACCCCGTATAGTATCGATGCTTTGTCTAATATAGTACAACAGTGGCAACACGCTAAGGAAACCCAGTGGCGCGTGAGCAATCCGTATAGTATTGACGTGGCTTAAAGCCAAGCTGTGTTGTTAACAAGTTGTGCTCATTTGCACACAAAATGTACTAACCTTGAACGATGTCTTTAGTAAAATTGCCTTTGAGCACTTCGAAAAGCCGTAGTTTTGTTAGATAAACTTATAAATGTACTTTTACGGGTTAGACGGAAGCAACTTTTGTCAAAAGCGTAGTGTATAAAGCTTAAGTAGGACCAAATATCAACCGAAATACTCAGAGTAAGGAATAGGTTTTTCTCGATATATGGTATACTCAGTTAAGGGATGAAAAAATGGATCACTGAACTGAAATACATACGGTAAATAGAGTGTAAATAGTCACATCTATCGTTACACCGACATCATAGACATCAACCAACAACTAAACAACGCGATTTTTGCAACTACTGCACCCGTGACATCTTCTCAAATATATCTTTGTATATATTAGTTAATGTTTAATTCTTCGAAACATCTAGAGTACGAAAGCTGTTAATGCAATTACTAAATTATTTGTTGAAAAATGAAAAGCTACAGTATATACAATACATTCTGGGGACTTTAGCTTTTAAAATTATATTTGTCACGGTATTATTTGTCACGCGGTTAATTTCTTAATGCCGTGGCCAAAGTCACGTGGAGGTAAAAAAAGTGTTGGCACCTATTATGTGGATTTTTTTATTAGCTTACATAAACATGATTTTCAACGCCCAAATTTTTTTTAGAGTAGTACATTAGAAGTTAAAGTGCTAGCCTAATACATTTTTGTAATAATCATATTCCAATTATTAATAAATTCATCAGATAATAATTTCAGCCTAAATATGTTTTCATACTTTAGATATTGAATTAAAGATAAATTAAAAGCAATTAATACAATTATTATTTCTATTGTATCTGTTCTACTCTTAGAATTCGTATCAAATTTTTAAGAAATTAATTTATTCTTATTGGTAATATAGTTTTTGATCCTATTAACATATCAGATAATCAGATATCTGAATCAGATATTCATCTATGCTGTATCACTTTTTTTTGTTATGAATGCTGTACCTAAAGTTTAATTACAATTTCACGTTAACTGTTAATTCTATTCTTAAATTATTATTAATCAAAAATCAGAAAGATGAGATTTATATTCATGATTACTGGGTAAAATACGTGAAATGCCGGTACTACATGAAATAAATTAAGGTAGGAAATAATCTCGGTAACATTATCATTTTGCGTTTTACTTCATGATAAAATTATGTTCTGGAGAAAAAATATTCATATAGTTTTATTTTTTTCGCGTATTCGTTTGTTTTTAATATTAGTTATTTTATTCAAATCCAAGACTTACTTTTTTGAGTTAAGCAAGCTTGGCCATAAATCATACGAGTAAACTCTAAATCACGTGTAATTGCTCAAATTGCTTTAAAGATGGACCGAAGTCGGGAATAGCCGGTATATTAACCGTTGTTGTCTAATATTTGTACGACTGTATCATGTATATAAATAGCTTAACATCATGTTTTTTTCCACACGGTTTTTTTTTAAAAAAAAAATGACAAACGTTAGTTCCGATTACGAATTTATATTTACAGCAGCGGATGCTCGAAGACAACAAAGAAGTTATTCAGTATTATCATGGTCACAAATATTTAATCCTTCATCCTATTACAGTAGGAATAATATAAATAGAGAAAATACTATAAATTTATCAAATACGAATAGTATTAGACAACAAAGTAATAATAATAGTCAACCTCCAAGTTATGAAGAAGCTATTCAACAATCTTTAAATCCTTCTACTGTAAATATAGCACCTTTAGCTCGACCTACTGTAATTCATCATCCATTAGACCAAGTTATAATTCCTGATGAATCCCAACCTTTACTTTCTGATCCTGAAATACTCGAAGATTCTAATTATTTAGAAAGAAGTAATAACAACATCACTACTACTGATAATAATAATAATGATATAATTAAAAATAGATTTGATGACTCAAATCCAGATGATGAAATTCAAGAGTTAGGAGGTCCATCTTCTTCAGGTTCTAATTTACCTATTTCAAATGAAAGATCAATTCCTGGAGTTCATTATGGAAATGATGGGATTCCTCCTCCACCTGAATATTCTTTGTCTGACGCTATTTATGAAAGAGATATTAATGGTGTTACAAGCCATGATCCTAAATTAAATAGTGAGCCTGAATCTCTATTAAGGTTTTTTATGGAACATAATGATAAACCTGAAATGGCAATTAAAGTCCATGGTAATTATGAACAATATTTTATTATTATTATTATTTATACTAATTTCATTTAATTATTCTTTAGGTTATCATACTGAAGTTGTTGATGAAAGTTACACGAGTACAGATTCTGATGGCAATAGAACGGTTCATTATCAATCAAGAACTGTTGAAATAACAGATTTTAATTTCACTCTCGATTTAACTGAACATATTTCAACTAATGGTATAATTCGTACTATATCAAAAAATAATAAACAAAAAGATATTTTGGAATTATTAAATGAGTATGTTAAAAATGAAAATACGTTAAAAAATATTGAAATGAAAAAGGTATGTAAAACTTAAAATCTTTTTTAAAAAATCCTTTCTTTTTTTAACTAAAATATATTACGTGAAAATATACATTTTTTGTAGGTTGTAATCTGGGATTATGAATCTTTAACAAAAGCAATATCAACAGTGATAAGACAACAAGGATATCGTAGTGATTTACGTATAACATTTCCACTACGTAATCATTTCGTACGCGTAGAATCTGATCACAAATTCGCTAAATTTGCTAGAAATATTTGGACAAAAATTTTGTGCTTTATAACTTGTCTTTGGATAATTTTTTTCCCTATACTTTGGTTATATAGAAATAGTTTTAAAAATCAAATTAGAAGTGATTTTGTAATGAATATTAGTGAAAAGGATTGGTTTGATAGAAACGTTAATTCTATTGTTACTAATGTTAGATGGTTATAATATAGAAAGAAAATTAGCTATAATAGATTTTAACTAAGATCGTTTGTTCGAAATTATCGTTGTTGATGGCGATAAAAAAATATTTCCGGATTTAAACAAATAACTTGTCCCCTTCCCTAATAATATCCCTCACGACACCCAAAATCCCACATGAATGACTAATAAAATGAATTATTCATTATGTTATTTTGTTTCATTAAATATTCTATATAAATATTAAATAATAAAACAAATTCTTCAAAGATCAAATTTATCAAATTTCTTATCTTTTTTCAATTCTTCCTCTTTTTTAATCTCTTCCAAAATTTGTCTAGGATCATACACTAATTTTTTTTATAATACAAAAATCCGTATTAATAGTTATGATTTTTTTAAAAAATAATAAAATTTGGTAAATAATTAACCTGGTTTATCGGATTGGGCAGTTCTTTTTAATACTTCCATTATTAATTCATTCTTTTTACGAGTTTCGGGAGAATTAATTTGTTCTTTAATATCAGGAGGTAATTTCTTTTAATAATAGATAAAAAACTTTGTTTAATTTAAAAAATTACAAAAAAAAAAATTTAATGAATTTAAAATCTTACCGCATACCATTCTTCTGTATTTGGCGTTGTAATTTTCATTAATCCATATCCTAATCCAATAATAAATCCTCCAACCAATAAACTTTTTGTATATACAACTAATGACGACGACATTTATTTAATTAAAATGGTGTAAAAAAGCAGTAGCGCGTGAATTTTAAGAATTTATGCGAAGTATTTATAATTAGTACAATTTTGTAAGCACGTCATTTGATTGGACGAAAAAGTGCACATGGAATTAATCAGTCATTTGATTTTGATTGGTTGACATCTTATCACAAAATTTTAAGAGCATTTGGCATTATGTAGTATGTACTGACATATCATATATATGTAAAACGTAATATTTAACGTCTATTATTTTATTGATAAAAATTTACAAAATGTTAAAATTCTATAACTATATACAAAAGAACTTATTTATATATTAAAAATGTGACATTGGTTAAAAAATCGTTTTGGAATTGTTTGTTGGAAATAATTGTATAGAAGAAAGAGAAGGGGGGAGGGGATCATAAATTTTTCCTTTACACGTATAACTTTTTTATATTTGTCATAATTCTTGTTGATTTTGTGATGATTCTAGAGATTCCATATTAGTATCATTCGTATCTTCATTTTCTTTCGTTTGATCAATATTATTTGATTCATTATTGTTATTAATACCAAAATCAAAATCATTCATATCATCATCATCAACACTTTCAATAATTTCAACATCAATATCTTTCAAATCTTCCATTTTATCATCATCACCAATTCCATTATTAAATACTTTTTTACTTCCTATTAACCTTCTTTCATTTTCATTTCTTTCTTCAATAATTCGATTCAATAATTTATCATCTTTTTCAATTTGTTGATAAATATCCACATCATTAGGTAACACTATACTCTTTACTATTTTTACTAAATAATTAGGTATCAAAGCTAAACTAACAGTTATTATAATGGTAAACCAATATTCATATTTAACTCCAACATTTGAAAATACACCTCTAACTTCATTATTATTACGAGGATATAAATAATTATATAGAGTTTGAAATAAGAACCATCCAAATAATGTTAAAAATGATGTAAAATGTGTAATAAAAGTCCAATTATGACATTCTAAATATGCTATTTTAATTGTTACAACAAATACAACGCAAGTATATACTGTCACTCCTAATTCATAAAGAGGAGGTGATCCAATTGCTCTTAATTCGAATTCAGTTATAACTTCATGTAAACAAAATGGTATTAAAACTATCATGACTGCGTGATATATTCCTGCACATACCCATGAGAAAAAGATTCTTAAATTAAATGCTGAATTTAATTGTCCCATTGTATGATATAATTCTGGAACTCCCATCAACGTTTTTTTGTTCAAATCTTTTTCAAACATACCAATAACTAATACTGGTAATGATGAAAATAATGTATTATAAGCGGAAAGTGTCCAATGTTCATATAAACTCGTTTCAGAAAATCCAGTGAAAAATTGGTATATACCCTGTGTAATATAAAAACACATACACTTGTAAAAAGTTCCAAGAACAAATTTTGAAACTCGAATATAAGACCATCGTCCATGAACAAATAATAATGACATTAAATAACGAAATTGTGCTATTGAATAATCACTTGTTCTAGCAGCTTGTAAACCTTCTCGACCCATTATACCAATTCCAACATGTGCCTCTTGAATCATTGCAATATCATTAGCTCCATCTCCTATCGCTAATGTAACAGCATTGGTTAATTTTTCTCTTATTTTACGAACTACAAGAGCTTTTTGACATGGACTTACACGACAGCAAATAACTGCTTCACATAAAATACCTAAATTAATAAATAAATCCATGATTTCCGGATTTTGTTCAATAATCATTAAAGTAGCTCCATCTATAATTGCTACCGCATGATTTGCTTTGCCTTTATGAATATTCTTTAAAGAACTTTGTAATTTCTTTTTTAAATCAACGTTCGAATCCACGATTATTATGGTTGAATATTCTTTTATCAAAGAACATGAATGTCCTATATTAATCGCAGTCTCACGTTTGTCACCTGTCAACATCCAAATTTTAATTCCTGCTCTACGTAATTTATCAATCGTTTCAGGTACACCATTTTGTAATTTATCTTCGATCGCTGTTGCCCCTGTAATTTCTAAATCACGTTCAATCAATTCAGCGACATCTTCAAGTTTTTTTTGTCTATCAACCAATGAAGTGGATGCTGATTGATATAATTTATTCCATGTGGTATATTCATCTTCATCAATAAATTTATGTCCATAAAGTAAAGTTCTAAGACCTTCTGTTGAAAATTCTTGAATATGTTGAATGGTTCTACTATAAAGCCACTTATCATCATGAATTGAAAACAAATCTTTCACAGGATTTTGATTCGTATTTTCAATGAAAAGTTTTTTATCTGTCATTGTTTTGGTTTGAGGATGTCTCAACCTATCAAGTATAACAGTATCAGCTCCTTTACTTAACAAACATATCCTTCCATCAGGTAATCGATAAATAATAGACATTCTCTTTCTTTTACTTGAAAATTCGATAACATTCAAAATCTTATAATCTTCATAAGACACATTATCTTCATTAGGAACTTTTAAACCATCAGGTCCATCATTAAAAACTTGAAGAGATACAACACCCATAGAACGATTTGAAACTATATAACCTAATTCTTTTGCTGTAGTAACTATAGCAAATTCATCTGGAGAAGCAGATTGATAAAAAATTTCTTGAGAATTTAAATCTACTTCAGGAACGCACGTGTGACATAAAGCCATGGCAAGTAAAAAAAATCTTGCCCTTTCTCCAAAAGGAGTATTATATTGATATTTAATTATGGTCAATAAATCAAGCGTAGATAGTATCTTTTGATTTGAAATAACTTTTTGAGAATTCATGGATGCAAATGAATTACATCTACTATTCGCTGATGAACGAGGAGCAATCATTGAAAAAGTACTAGCAGCAGAATTTTTTCTACATAATGGATCAATTTGAATACTTTGTTCTTCAATAATCTCATTCGAAACACGACCTGTTTGATTATTATGATTATTAGAAGAAAGTGAATATCTATTTCCTGATGAAGTTACACGATTTCGATGTTTTTGAAGTTTTAATAATAATTCATCATCCTGAAATTTACGAACACTTAAATCATGTAAAAATGATCTACCACCAACGCTTAACTTCCTAAATAACATAATATTATCCGTTAAAGTACCAGTCTTATCGGAAAATAAGTAATTAACTTGACCTAATTCCTCATTAATTGTAGAAGTGCGAGCCTCAGCAGGTGTATCGGTTTCTTCATGATACATATCCAAATCGTGATTAATGAAATAAACTTGAGCTAATTTAATAATTTCCAAGGTAACATATAAAGATATTGGGATCATGGTATTATAAAGAATGATATAAGCGAAAAATGTGGAAACAACGTTATGTTTTAGGTGATGTCCCAAATACCAAAAATCTCCTGCATTTACAGCCCAGTAATAAGCTAAAATTGTGTAAATCGTAGCCAAAATTATTACAAAGCAAAATATTATCATAACAACACGATTCATATATTTTTGTATACTAGGAGCTTTAGTACGAATATTTTTTGTCGCATTCATTCGTAATTTTGTTTCCCTCCCTGTAAAGATAACCAACCCATAAATCTCGGAAGTATTACGTAATATTGTTCCTCTCAATAAGATTTGATCATTAGTTAATGGATAAGTTGTTCCATCAAATTCAATTGATCCATCAAAATTATATAAATCCTGATTCGGATTTTCGGTTTTGACATTTCCTGATTGATAATCAAAAAAAAAAAAAAATTAATATTTAAATTTACGTAAGGATAAATATATATATAATATATAAAAATATATACCGGAAAAATTAGCAAGAGCCTCGGGTGAAGTTAAAGAATTTGTTTCTTTCAGTGCTTGTCGTTGTTTTAGGTTAGTTTCACCATCTAATGCAGCAGTTTCAACATAACATATTCCTTCCTCTCCTTTTGAATGTAACAATAATAAATCAGCAGGAATCCATTCTTGAGCTTTTATTGAAACAATATCGCCAACTTGTAAATTTTTCCATTTTGTTTTTGTCCATAAACCAATTCGTTGAGATGAAACATCATTTGAATGATATACATGTAACGATAAACATTCATTGTTATTCTCAACTTTATCTTGTTTATGTCTTCGAATATCATCAAAACCTTCATGAGCTATAGATAAAGACATAAAACTTAATAATGGGATTAAAGTCGTAAATTGACCAGTAGGGGACCAACCAGGAATTGTTTGTATAACAGCGACGAATAAGAAATAAAGATTAGCAATTTTCGAGAATTGAGCGTAAAGTTGTTTTGGAAGGAAATTATAAAATGTATAACGGGAAGTTGTAATCGAATTATTAATAAAAGGTTTATTCGTTCTTGAATCTAAAAGAGGTTCCTTACGTTCAGGTAATATAAGAATTTCTCGATAAGAAATTTCAGAACATTGACCATATATTAATGTCCTAAATCTTTTTATCACGTGACATAAAGCCATTTTCATAGTATTTGGTATTATACAATTATTTATGGGAGATTCTTTTGATTCTTTTTCATTATTTTTCATATTAATAAAATTTCGAACATCCACCAAATCTAAAGAATCTATGCTAATCTTTGAAAAACAAGGATCATTTTTTGAATTTTTATACATTTCCTCCATAACACCCATAGTTAAACCATTATTGTCTAATGTGCCAAGATATTTTGTAATCGGGACTTCTTGGGAACTTGTAAGTTCTTGGCGTAATGATTGACTATGTGAATTTGACAATGAATGATCACGTTCTTTCAATGAATTATATAAATTAGTAATATAATCCATGTCTATCAAAAATTATTTTATATATTATTATAAATTTATTATTATCTTTTTTATTACATTTTCACGAGGAAAAAAATAAAAAAAAAATAATGAATTAAAATTTCATTTAGGAAGGAGGAACAGGGGTTTTATTATAAAAGTTGAAGGTCAACCTTAATTAGAAAAATTAAAAATAGAAATTTCTTAGCTTATCTTTAAAAAAAATTTCGGTATAACATTAAATCATTTTATTTACCTTTTTTTAAAATAATTCCGATGAAATCGGAATTTTCTATTTTAAAAAATTTATAATTGTTTTTGAACCCGCCGTATTTAAAAAAAAAAATTAAAAATACAAAAATGTACAAGGCGTGTAACGTATGGAATGAATGGAATGATCAATTGGACCTACCGAGGTATCACCAAATCATTGTGACAATGAATAAAAAAATGTCGAGAGATAAATAAAAAATATAGCGAATAAATAATTCGCCCAAATTTCGCGTTATTAATTTAAAATATGTTCTAACAAGAAAAAGGCTTGGAGGCTTAGAAGGGAGAAAGCCGAGAAATGGATTTAAACTTTAAAGAGCCAAGGATTATTATAATTATGTGAACTCACGATATTTATACGGATGAGGTGATAATTTTATTTATATAATATATAAAAATATAGTATAATGTGTTTAAAACCATACATGGGTTGAAAAACTGTATTTTTTTTGTCGATAAAAAAAAAACTTTTTTGTAGTATTTAAATAAAATTAACCTTGTTTCAAGGTTTGTTTGGAAGTCGGAGTTATAAAAGCATTGTTTATATTGAAAATCTTAATCAAATGTAGTTTATAGTTTATACAATAAAAAGTCCATAGAAATTTTAGACTTTCGGATAAGTAAAATTTAAGAACGGATGTTACAATTGCTACATGATACAGTTGATACACTATGGTAAACGTTTGTGAATAATCCTGCAGGTGGCAAAACCTGCAACCAATTAGAAAATCTTATTGGATTCACGCGATATACCGAAGTTACATTTCTATTAAAAAAGTATATCTTGGAATATAAAGCATAAAAAGCCTATCAGATCAAAGATGTTAGATTTTAGATATTTTAGATCATCGGATCGTCTTTATTCTTTATCAGAAAATGAGATAAAAAAATGAGATAATAAAAGGCAGATAAACAATATCTGAATGATCTGGATGTCAAATATGTCAAAAAGTTCTTAATTGTTAAAAGGATTCTAATTTTATATTTTACTTATTTGGATGGTTTCTAATTTTGTATTCACAACACAATCAACATGATTCAGTCCATTGGCTCCTTTTTGGCTGATCCCATCATGGCAACACTGATTTTTGTATTTAGATGCCATGTGACAAAGATTGATGGAAAAATTTTAAATCATAATGTCTTCTCTTACAAAATATGTACGGAAAGGGGATTTATCCTCACTTCGTAATTATTTAACCACTATTCCTATCGAAGAAGCACGCAAAATAATAAATACTCCAGATATACATGGAGATACACTTATACATTTTGCTGCTCGTTCTCACAAGAAAAATATTTTATCGTTTTTAATTGAAGATATGGGTGGTAATGCCATGGCGGTTAATATTCACGGTAACTTCACTCTTTAATCTTGTAATTTCATTGCTTTTTTCGTCATGAAAAATTTTTAATTTCTTTCATAAATTAATAAAATAAGGTATGCTAAAATAGGTCGTCAACCACTTCACGAAGCAATTGATGATTATGAATGTGTAAAATATTTATGTGATCAAAATATTGATGTTAATTGTATGAAACGTGGCGATTGGACTTCATTAATGATCTCTTGTAAGATATATTTTTTTTTTTTAGAATAAAAAATAAATCAGATAACGTAATTATTTATTTTATTTTTCTTCTAGCAATGAAAGGTGATCTTAATATAGTAAAAGAGTTAATTAATCATGGAGCTAATGTAAATTTCTTAAATAAAGATGGTTGGAGTAGTCTCCATCTTGCTGCAAAAGAAGGTTAAGAAATTAAAATAAAGTTAAAACTTCAACCTAATGCTAAGAAGTTTTCAATTATCTAAGATGAAAATATCATTCTTCTTCAGGTCATTTTGATGTTGTGATTTATTTATATAATATATCACCTACTTTATCATTAACACCAAGTAAATCGGGAAGGCTACCTATTCATACAGCTGCATTATGTGATCATCATGAAATAGTTTTTCAATTACTTTCATTAGCATCTAACGAAGAAACCAAACAATATTTATTAAATTCAAGTGATAATGGAGGAACAAATTTATTACAAAATTTTGTAATTTGTGGAAACGTTCAAATTGTAAAAAAATTAATTGATGAATATGATGTTAAAATTGATTATAAAGATAAACTTGGTAGAGAAGCAATTCATCATGCAGCTATCATAGGGAATAAAGAAATGATAGAATTATTATTTGAAAAAGGTGCTAATATTAACGTACAAGATAATTGGGACAAATTTACTTCATTGCATCATGCTGCTAAGGAAGGACATGTTAATGTCGTTAAATATTTGATTAATGTGTGTCGTGCTAATGTAGATATTAAGGATAATCATGGGAAAACAGCAAAAGATATTGGTACGTTATCATTATTTCTTTAAAAAATGTGTGTGTATATATAATGCATCAATTTTAATTAATTTAATATAATTTTTGTAAATTAGCTATTTTATGGGATAGAAAAGAAATAATAGAAATATTATAGTTTATTTCTGACGGTATTATCTCTATTAATCAATTAAGACTGAAAAAGAAATTGTTTACATTGTTGATGCTCATTCTTTTGAATTTCATATTTTGTTTTTTTATATTAGGATAACAATGTGTAAAATATTAAAAAGAAATTTCTTTGTTGAATAATAATATAATTGAAAATCAGAGGTTGATTCAGTGGGACTGATAACTGATTCAATCTCAAAAAAATTTTTATTGTATATTATATTTGATAATCAGAGGCTGATTCAGTGGGACTTGATAACTGATTCAACGACGTATTTAAACAGATCATCTAATCTAATACTTTATCATTAAATATTCTTTTTAGTTTTTCTTATGTACTTTAAATTAAGTGATTAATCAAATACCACATGATTCTAATAAATCCAAGTACCGTTAGCTTGCAAGACAAGTTCGTTGGCTATTTTACTCATGGGAGGCATAGTAATAGTTCTGCAATTTACGTAAGTCAAAGTTTCTTTAACATCCCAAAGACATCTGTAGGCATGAAGGTCGCTCCTTTTTACTGAATATTCTCGTATCTTGGATAATTCACAGAAGACAGATTACATAGAACTATGGTGGGAGAATACTGCGAGCATAATATCGGATCTCTTGCTCTTCATTCAACATTGAAACTTAGATTTTATCTACATTATTCCGTTATAATTGATTTATCATCTTTACATGATTGATAACAAGCTAAAACTATACAGTAACAGTAGAACAATAAAAAAATTGTTTTTTTCAAGTCATAAATTTATTTATGAGGCTTCAATAATGTAATGATAATGTATGTATATAATAAAGTATGAAAATACAAAAATATTTAAGAAGGTTATTGAATAAATTTTTTAATAGAAAAGTTTATTATTAAAAATGTGTAATTTCTCGCCCACAAAAAAAATTAAATATTATCCCAATATTACTATGTTTTTGGCCACTAAAATATAATTGAAAAGAATATAATGAATTATTCCTCCACTAAAACGTTGTCAATCTTATAAATGATTCCATTTGCTGCTATTAAATTTGAAATAGTATTTACTTTTCCATTTAATTTAAAAGTGCCATCCCTATTCTTCTCAACTTTAATTTTCGTTTTGCTGTTTAAAGTATCTATTTCTTCACCATCTGGGAGTGTTGAATAAGCTTTAGGTACAATATGTGCCAAAGCAAATTGATGTAATTTTTCTGTTGGATCTTCTGATTTATCTTTAACTTGACCTGGTTTACGAGTTAATTTACGAAAAGCAGAATTTGTAGGTGCAAATATAGTGAGCGACACAGTCAGATTTGCAATCAAATCAGACTTTTTTTTTTAAAAAAAGAATTAAAAATTAGTTTTTATTTCAAAGTTTCGTTAAAAAGAAATATTTGTGAATTATGTTACTTACAGTATCTGCAAACTTTCTCAATACGTCTACAAAAATTGTTAGATCCCTTTCTTGGGGTATTAAATCATCTATAGTAGAAGGTCCTGTAGAAATTGTTACTTCGTCATTATCTTGCATATTAAATTTGTTTCTTTCGTCATTATTCATATTTCTGTAAGAAAATTCTGGTACTAATTGACCAATTGTACATAAAATCAATAATGAAACTATAAATGTAAAAGCGATTCTTTTTTGTCCCATTTTACGTTTTTGATTTAACCGTTAAAAAAGTGTCAAAAAGAAAAGAACACAACTATTAGTTTATATTTTTAGCCAACACGGCCAGTCGGCCACGCCCAATCGTCATATGGTTTTTCATTGATGTAACACCGATCACTTGATTTTTAGCATATTCATTCTTTTAATTAAGGACAAACAGAACAGAAACAGAACGGGATTTTTTTAAGGAGTATTTCAAATATTTTAAAATACTTAAAAATCTCATTTTTTTTTCCGAATTATTAATTTTCCTTTACCTTTTTAAAAAATTATAATGTAACAATTGAGCATGTGATGTTAAATAGCATATGATAACAGGATTTTCTTTTGAAATTCAAATGAAAATTTCATAAAACAACACGAATTGGGAAAAAGAAGCGTAATTGGATGAAAGAATATTTTTTCTTTTGGATATATTAGAAAGCAAAAAAAAAAGATTTTTTTTTATGATTATGCTTTCGAATAATTGTGTTGTTTGTTACACACAGCTGCGGACATTATTTATTATTTTGAAACGTGAAATTTCGATTGGTTTTTCTCACGTCAAATTTACTTTTTGTACCGTTCGCCATATAACCATAAGGGTATTACATTCTCACATTCTCTGTTTTGATCCGATCAGCAATCAAATTTCAGCCAATAGTTAATTACTTTTTAGGTGTTTCTTTTAATATGCTTATCTGAAGATATTTGCCCTTTCAAAATCAAATCGGAGCAAAAAAAAAATTTTTTCCACTTACCACAAGTAGATAGATGTGTAAATTAACGCCTCCCCTATATAATTTTCTTATATAAACCAATCGAGTTACCATAAAAAATTGAAAAGCATTTATTTCAAATTATTTGCTTTAAAGGGGTTAACTCATAGTCATGAAATTTTCGCACTCAATTCAATTTAATTCAGTCCCTGACTGGGCTGACCATTACATTGCGTATCCTTTTGTTTTTTTTTTTGTTGTTTTTGTTATCTTTTGCTGTTGTTAGTCTTTGAATTTCGAAATGAATTTTTAATTTTTTTTATATTTAGTTTCGATTAACTGATTTTTTCGATTGTCACATTATTACACAAAATGTTGATCCTTAATCTTCATAACTTGTGATCTAAATAGATATTCAAATCTCAAAAAACTTATCTATCAAATCGAAAGAGATATTTTTTCTCCAAATGCTGTTCGAAATGATACTGAGGCAGCAAATTTGGAGTCCGAAGAGTCTCCATTGTTGAATAATAAGACTCGTGCAAATGCAATATTTATGCCTGCACTTGATAAAGAACTCGCAAAAATTAATGCTTTTTATTTAAATAAAGAAAAAGAATTAATTGAAGAAGTTAGTAGATTAATTTCAGACATCGCTGTATTTGAAAATCTTGAAGATAATGTAAGTATTCGCAGTAATTCTATAGCTTTGAGCAGATCTTTTCAGTCTGGAGAAGGATCACATCCACGTAGAAGACGTTCTAATTCTCAACTTAGAAGAAATAGATCTACCTCTGATGCTGCTGTATCATTCGTGAGCAGTGATGATGACGATGAAGAATTTAATTATTCACATCAAACAGATGGTGCAAGAAATTCAACTGATACTGACGTGATGGATAATCGACTTTCTTATTTATGGGCTCCATCGTCACTTGAGGAACAGAGAATACGATTAAAGAAACGCACAATTGAACTTTTCGTTTGGTTGTCAGAACTTAAATCATTTGTTTCTCTTAATTATACGGGTTTTTCAAAAATTTTGAAAAAATATGATAAAATAACTAATAGTAATATTAAACTTAAATCAACTTATCTTAATAATGTTGTTAGTGAATCTTATCCATTTAGACAGTCTAATCGTCAAAAGGTTGAGGAAAAAATTTCTAAAGTTCAAGAAATTTATGCAAACTTATGTACTAATGCTAATATGGACATTGCTATTAGTGAGCTCAAAGCTCATTTGAGAGAGTTCATAGTTTGGGAAAGGAATACAATTTGGAGGGATATTATTGGTTTAGAAAGAAAATCTCATGCTGTTGGAATAAAAGAACCAGTTACTATAGATCATTCTGTAGGTAAAGGGTCTAATATTACAACACCTTTTGGTGAGGTTAATGTATCAAACACCTTCTGGAAGAACATCTCTCTTATGTTAATATTTATTGGTGTGTTCATCTTCCTACTAAATATACGTTTGTTCGAAGGAGTAGAAGAAAATAATTGTTTTGCATTATTGGCATTTGCAAGTTTATTATGGGCAACTGAGGTAAAAATTTTACAACTTTTATTTGCAAAATTTTGAAATTATTTTTATGAATTGTTATTATCTATTATTTGCTTACTATTTATGCGAATTATCCCAGGTTATACCACTTTTCGTTACTTCACTTTTAGTTCCTTTGTTGGTTGTTTGTTTACGAGTTTTACGTGATGGTGATGAACGTCTTTCAGCACATGATGCAACAAAAAGCATATTTCAAGCCATGTTTTCACCGGTTATTATGTTACTTTTGGGAGGTTTTGCTATCGCGGGCGCATTAAGCAAATATCATATTGCTAAAATGTTGGCAACTTACGTATTGTCTAAAGCTGGAACAAAACCTAGTTTTGTACTTTTAGCAAATATGTTTGTCGCAACTTTTGCAAGTATGTGGATAAGTAATGTTGCTGCACCAGTATTGTGTCTTTCAATTATTCAAGTAAGTTATTATGAAAGTAAACCTATTTCTTTATTTAGTAGTTATAAATTTTTATAAAATTAATTAATTACGAATAATTCCAAATAGCCAATCCTTAGAAATTTACCACCTAATAATTCTTTTGGACGTTGTCTAATTCTTGGAATTGCATTAGCTTCAAACGTTGGAGGAATGGCGTCTCCGATATCATCACCTCAAAACATTATCGCAATTGAAAATATGAACCCATATCCTACATGGGGTCAATGGTTTTTCATAGCAATTCCTTTGTGTATCATTATTGATATTTTGTTATGGATCTTACTTCTTTGGAATTATGAACAAAGGAAAAGTTCTTTAATGATCCATCCGATCAGATCTTCTAAAGATCCTTGGACTGGAACACAAATATTTGTAATCATAGTAACAGTGGCCACTATTTTACTTTGGTGTGTAGAAAAAAGTATGGAAGATTTTATCGGTGATATGGGAGTCATCGCTATTGTGCCATTGGTTTTATTCTTTGGTACAGGCATTCTCACCAAAGAAGATTTCAACAATTTCTTATGGACCGTAATCATACTTGCTATGGGTGGTATAGCTCTTGGTAGGGCTGTACATAGTTCAGGGTTATTACACACTATTGCCAAGAGTATACAAAACGAAATTGGTGATCTACATCCATGGCACGTTTTGGTTATATTCTCCGTACTTGTGCTTGTAGTAGCAACGTTTATTAGCCACACTGTTGGTGCTTTAATTATTCTACCTATTGTTGCTAAAGTCGGTGAACGATTAAGCGATTCACATCCAAACCTACTTGTTATGGTTAGTATCATTCAGTGATTTCTAAAAAAAAAGAAAAAAAAAAGAAATAAATAAAAATGTATTAATAATAATTATTAATCATATCTTATAGGGATCAGCATTCATGTGTTCAGCAGCCATGGGCTTACCAGTCTCAGGATTCCCAAATATGAATGCAATTATGATGGAAGACGAAATGGGAGTAAGATATTTATCAGCAATTGATTTTATAAAATCGGGTATCCCGGGATCAGTTCTTGCAATGCTTTGTGTTGTCACGATCGGTTATGTATTAATGTCGATTGTAGGATATTAACAAATTATAATATTATTTAATATATAATAATAATTATAGTGTAACGGAAAGCTATATATAGATTGATCTACAAATTATAATTTTAATATTACTTTAAAGGTAGATTTAAAGTTCAGTTTCTTTGTATATATAAATGAGATACTTTTTTTTTTTCCTTTTAAAAAAAAATTTTTTTTAAAAAAATAAAGAAAAATGTCTTTTTACAAAATTTCAAGAACTTTGTTATCCAATTCCCGAATTATTTCATTTTCAAAGACTGCTCATTTTAAGTTCTTACAACAACAACACGCATCTTTTCATAACACTCCACAACGTTATTCACATGATCCATTCCTATTTCGATATTCAGGCCCTTATTGCGAAGCACATTCAACTTCACAACCTGCTCACATACAAAAAGCTCATGATAGAACTGTTAAAGAACTTAAAGGTGAAACAGAAACGTTAGAAATGTTAGCAACACCAATACAAGGATCTTTATTGACCTTTTTAAGTAAAGCAATGAACGCGAAAAAAATACTAGAGATAGGTTGTTTTACAGGTTATTCAGCAATCTGTTTTGCCGAAGGTATTAAAGAAAATGGACCAGATGCTAAAATTATAACTTGTGAGAATGATCATAAGTATGCAAATATTGCTTTGCAGAATGTGAAAGAAGCCGGTATGGATAATTTAATCGAGATTAAGGTTGGCGATGGTCTGGAAATGTTAGTAATGAAAATTTATTTAACTTTTTTAGTTCATGCAATCCTAGCATATTTTTTTGATTCGTTAATTTCACGTGATTTTTTTTTTTTTTCAGATTACGAAATTTTGATAAGTCTACTGTTTTTGACCTAATCTATCTTGGTAAATAAACCAATTAAAATTGCAAGATTTTCATTTCTTTGTTAAAAATCATTAAATCGAATATATTTATAATTATTAGATGCGGATAAAGCAGGATACCTAAATTATTATGAAACAATTCTCGAACGTAATCTTCTTGCTAAAAATGGATTGATTTTAGCTGATAATGGTATTGTTAATCGACTTTCCTTTTCTTTTTCCTTCTTATTTGAGACAAATAAAAAAAAAGGAACAATAATTAGAATTTAAAAATTATTATAGTTCTTTTTCGTGGATTTGTGCAAAGAATACCTAATTATGACCCAAACGCACCAGAAACAAGTGAAAATTATATACCAAAAAATTTTTACAAGCGTATTGTTAAGCCGTTGTATCAATTTAATGAACACGTTAATAAAGATCCAAGAACTACGCAAGTAGTATTGCCTGCATTTGATGGATTAACGCTAATTCGCAAGAATTAAGGTATTTTTTTTTTTTATTATTTGTTCTTTCTGCTCTTACATAAAATAGATAGATCTTACTTTAAAATCAATTTTGAAACATAATGAATATTATTTTTTTAGGATGATTTTCTTGAGGGGAATAATCATTATTAATTATACATAAAATTCGAAATTATAACAACTAAATTGGATTAGATTTTCATGATCAATTGTAAATCATTTCCTATTATTCCTCTGTTATTTGTCGTACTATTCGTTATAAAAGTTAATTCGCAATTTATTTTTCTAAATTTATTTTTAAGTAACATTTATTTATATTATTTTTAAAATTGTATTACAAATGTGACAAGATTTTTTCTTTATGGAAATTTTTCAAAAAAAAAAGGATTTATTTTACTTTATTTTTCTATAGGAAAAAAGTTTCTGATTTATTTGATTTATTAAATAAAAGATTATCATTTTAGTGCTTTATCGGAAAGGCTGATTATTCCGACAATTAAATAAAGCATTTATGTTTTTTTTTCAATTTGTTTTGTTTATCAATCGTTTCGAACTTTGTGTAATATCTCTCAAAAGAAGAAATTTTATTATCTGGACTTGCTATCCGGAAGGCGCTAATTTATTAATTGGTTGGTTTATATATTAAGAAAACAAAATATATTCCTAAACCTTTTTGCGATAAACCATATACTCATGTTACAATTGTTGCATCGTACAACCTTAATTTATTTTATCTTATCCCTTGCCTCAAAAATTTGGCTAAAAACTAAAATTAAAACAAACTTACCAGAATTTTATCATTTAAAAAGCTTTTTACGTCATTCTTTCTTACTTTTTTTGATGTACATAATTGCATGTTTGCATTATACAAATGGAAAAAAAGATCTATAAAAATAATATATAACAATTTATTAAAGGTGCGACAAAATAATATTTCATTGCATAGTGTGCAACCATATTTGTCTATAGCTTTTTTTTTCTATTGACTGTACAAACGGACGACTTAACTAAAATTTTTTTTTTTATTTTTTTCTTATATACGGCAATACTCTTTTTTCCCCTTTATTATCATTATTATTATCAAAAAAACAAAAAAAAAAAATTTCAGTTTATACCTTAAATATAATAAATAATATCTTCCTTCCTTACTTCCCCTTTATATAGTACATACAATAATAATGGCGTCAACACGACGCATCTATCTTTTACTTGTGCTCATTTGTCTGTCGCTTGTAATTATTTCTCACATTCCAAGTGTAAATTCACAAGCACCAGGAGCACCAGCAGCACCAGCACCAGGAGGCGATGCACCAAAGGATGGGGGAAAAGCTGCAGACCCTCCAAAAGATGCACCAGCAGGTGGGGGCGACAATCAAAAGACTCCAGCAGGTGGTGACAATACAAAGAACCCACCAGCTGACGATAACAAGAATCCTCCAGCTGATAATGGTGATAACGGCAAGGGCGGTGATAACGGCAAAGCTCCAGATAATGGTGGTGGTGTAAGTCGGATTTTTATTTTACTTTATTTATTTTTTTTTTATTTTTATCTTTTTTTAAAAGGAACGTCTTGTGAAAAATTATTTGTTTTAGAATAATACTTAATATTTATATAGTAAACTATGTTTAAAACAAAATTAGATAATTGTTAGGTTCTAATTCGGGCTTTTATTGCTTTTATTATAACATTTATCAAATTATTGGAGGGAAAATTTTTCTAGATATAGTTTTTGGCGACAAATGCCACGCATTTAGTTATTTGAATTATTGATCAATTAATTAATCAATTAATTTATAATTTATTTTTAGAAAAATCCTCAACCTCAACCTCAACCTCAACCCGAACCTGACCCACCAAAAAATAATCCCCAACCTCAACCCGCTCCGCAACCACCAAAAGATAACCCTCAACCACCAAAAGATAATCCTCAACCACCAAAAGATAATCCCCAACCACCAAAAAATAATGACCAACCCAAGAATCCAGCTAATCCACAACCCAAAGGTGGTGGTACCATTACAATTACATCAAGCGACCCTGGTAATGTTGTAACAATTACATCAACGTCAACTTCCCTTGGTCCTATTACACAAGCACCCGCAAAAAAACCAAATCAAAATGTTGCTCCAGCGGATGATTCTAGTGGAGGAGGAAGTGTTGTTACTGCAGCCATTGTTGTGGGTACAGTTGTTGTTGCCGCTGCTATCGGAATTTGGATATTTAGAAAATGGAAACTTTCGGTATAGAAATATATTTTTTTTGTTAGTTGTGTTGATTTAAAAAAAAATTTTATTAACTTATCTCTAATTAAATTAGCCCTCGAGGAATTTCAAGGAGAAAATACAACCGGTTAACTTTACTCCACGAACACATGAATCGGACACAATGTTTTTGCGTGAGTTAAATGAACCATGAGGACGGAAGATGATTTTGGTAATTTAGTTTATATAAAAAAAATTATAATTATATTTATTTGATATCTTTTTTTTAATTATTTGGAAATAATTATATATTTCACCAATATATACACCCCTAATTATTTTGTTTGATCTTTTTTAAAATAATACATAAACATGTAGGATAACTTATATGGTCAAAGATTTTTTCTTTTTCTTTTTCTTCAGAAAAAAAAAGAATAAGATATTGTATTTTTGGTTTTTTTTTATTTTGTTCCTTTGTACTTTAATTTTTTTTTTTTTTTGTAATCTTTAAAACCCTTATATATACCGGCACAAGATTTTTTTTTAATAACACTATGTAGTTTATTTAATCACATAAACAAACATTAAATATGGGTGGTTTTTTAATACAAAATAAGAATGTCAATAATTTTGGCTTTTTTTTAAAAAGAAAAAAGCATATATAATTTTTTGAAAAAATGTAAATGCTTTTTTTTCAAATTATGTGGAATTATGGGGTTTAGATAAGATTGTCGGTATAAATAGGCAATAATAATAATACAGAGGAATCATAAATAAAAAAAACTAATGAAGAAAAAAAAAAAGATTCAAATATTTATTATTATACAATATTACATATATAGTATATATATTCTTATAGATTCTAGGGTTGAGGTTAAAGATTACTTGGATAGTAGTCACTAAAAAAAAAAAAGTAGTATTTTTTTTTTTCATTTCATTATCCTTTTTTTATTATTATTATTTTATTTTTTTTTTAATTTATATATTTTTTTTTTTTATATATATAAAAAAAAAAATTTGCTTCATTATATATATATTTACACACAATTTACTTTACTTTTTACTTATATAAAAATAATATTTTGCCATCATTCATTCATATGTTAATTATTATTATTATTTTTTTTTGTTTTTGTTTTTAATGTTCAGTTATGATTAACAAAAATCTATGGAATTTTCTTTTTTTCTAGGTTGATTGGTTTGATTAGTATTTTAAAAGTAAAGTATATTATTAATTCTTTTTTAGGTATAATTATGTAATAATACAATGTACAACTTTAACAATTGAAAAGCTAATCCAAATTAATTATTAAAATTAAAATAATAAACAAAAAGAAAAAAAAAAAGAAATTATAAATTAGTTGATAATCCGATGACGGACATTAGACTAAATCCGGATGATTTCTATTCCCACCACTCCTCCCTTTGAAACATTTTAAAATTTTAAATGTTATTTTAAAAATCTATCAAAATAGTAAATTATATTACAGAATGGGTTAACACATTTAATCTATAAGATAACTAATAAATAAAAATAAAAATACTTTTTTTTTTTTTGTTTATTGACGATTCCACCCTTGTCCTCTAACTTTTCGTGTTGGCATAAATATAGGTAGTGGATGTGCTTCAGTATTAAACACATATTTATCAAGCGGAATTTGATCATTTGGGCCAAATAATAAATAAAAATATTTTAGAGTCTCAGCCTAAAAATTCAATTAATTCATTAACAATGTGTAAACTCAAACAGAAAAAAGTATGGAAAGAGATTATAAAAATACTAACCAGCCAAAATGTTTCCATCTTGTCTTTTCTACCAGGTGGAATAGAAGTAACATCTTCGAGTGAAGTGTATCCCCCACCTTCGTATTTGGTATGATTCTCAAAAGCTTCAAATATTTTCCAGCCCCATTCACTATAATAGTAATAATCAATTAAATAATGACTTTTTATTTTTTTTATTTTTAATTCACAAGACAAGTATACACCTACCGATATTGAACATCTCCGGTTAATCTCCACATTATAAACAAACTTTCCACAGTTTCTGGTCTAAGTAAATTATGACTATCAAACTTCTTTATAGATATATCTTTTTCAGGACCCGATAAACTAGTGAAATATGCAATTTCTGGTGCTAATCCTGTTGCTGTACGGAAATACATTTCCGTACACGTTTTTGTCAATTCTTTTCCTATCCTTAAATCTTCTAATTGTTTAAAGTTCAAATGTTTAACTTCTCGCACAGTTTTTCCAAGTGTAACTCCTAACGCAAAGTTACCACCCATAAAACATACTAAATGATCCATTTTTGGACTAAACTCATCATTTAGAAGTTCTCCAATATATAAAAGTTTAGATGGTGATGAATAATTAACAAGTCGTGATTTTACACCATCCATTGATTGGTCGTACATTCTTAGATAAATATTTTCAGTACGAGATGTTTGAAGATACTGTTTAAGAAGATATTCTTTATAATTAAGATAAAAATTAATATAATATATATTCAATTAATGTTTCTAGTGTAGTAATGGATAATAAATATTAAGTACCATAATAACTATCACCGCGTGCTCCCAATGTAATAGTTTTCCCAACGAAATTGCCAGTATGTGGACTATTATATTTGTACAATTTAAATGTTAGAAAAAAAGACAATTTAATTATTTAATATAATTATTATTGAAAATCAAAATAATTTTACATACTCCAAATATATTGGAACTAATCCATCCAACTTTTCAAGAGAATCAATCTTAAACATAACTTCTTCGGCTTTTTTCCAATATTCTTCATTGCTAGTAAGATGGCTTAAATATTTAAATTCCAATTGCAATGTTGTAGCTTCTGATGTTGAACTAGCACCTCCAACGAAGTGAGCTGGAATACCTTGCTTTAAAGCCAAATTAACCGAAGCATATGGAATTCCTGATGATGAAGAAAAGGCACCAAGAAGACGATCACCCAAATCAATAGCTTTGGATAAAAATAATGTGTCATTACCAGCTAAATGGTATGCACTTAATAATCCTCCAAGAACACGAATTGTTGTTTCAAAAACATTTACGTTGCCATTTTGTTCAAAATCTAAACTCCTTGCAACCCAATCACGGGCATGTTGAAATTCTTCTTTCAAATCCATTATTAAAAGTGTGTCTAAAGAATCAACAATAGTAAAACCTATTCCAATTCCAGTGAGATTTGATCCTCTATGAGAAATTGGATGGTACTCATCACAACCCCACGCATCACGAACATAACCTCCCCAAGCATGTTTGAATGCTTCTCGTACAGCATTCTGACGTTCTTTCCATTTGATCGTGTCATAAACTACGGGAATTTGAGTTGGAGTATGTGTTGGAGTATGTGTTGGAGTATGTATTGGAGGATGAAATTGTGTCTGAACAAGTGTTTCTACAGGTCGCTCAAAAGCATCATCATCAAAGACTTGCCCTTCATCTAATAATGTTTCTGGAGTCGAATTAATACTCCATCGAATATAAATCATAAATAATAATAGACATGATAAGGCTAAAAATAATAATCCTCGAAACCACGTAACTCGCAAATATCTTCTCTAAACATGAAAAAAGAAATTGTTATTACTTTAAGTGAAATATAATAAAAAAAATCGTATTTACCGTGAAAGCCATTCGTGTTTTCGAGGTTTTAGCATTGTCATAATCTATAAATAACAATTGACCAATTAATACAAATATACTTAATATACTTTGCCTATAAAAGAAATTTAACGGTCAAATTTACCATCCCGTGTTCTAGGTAACATTTTCTTTAAGATAAAGTTGATATTTTGTTAAAAAAAAAAGGTAATATTACTGATCCGACATATTCAAAATCTCAGGGGGCCAAAATTGTTAAATTTGCTACAGGGATGACGTAATCAAAATAATGCGCAATTACATATTATTGCATAAGTCGGAAAATTCATATAAATAGTACCGATTTTAAAGTTAGTTTAGATCATTGACAAACTTTAAATATTTAAATTATTTAATTATTCACAATATGTCAAGACGTTCCACTAATAGAAAAGCTTCAATACAGCTTGATAACGATGAGTTTGACGAGTACAAGCGCAATGTTGGTCCTTTTTCAAGTGACCGTCGCTTGTACAGTCCGCATAAAGATCCGATTGCTTACATTTCAAAATCAACCGCCGAAATGCAGACAAAGAAAAGCTTAACTGAAACCGATTTCGTTCCTCGCGCAAGTGGAAAACTATATGATCCTTATAGTGATCAAATGATTAACAGCTGGCCAGAAACTAGTTATGGACAAATGCAGCGAGCTATAGAAAATTCTGAAGTGAAATCTCGTGATTCCAAACATTTACGTACAAAAAGTGCCAATGGGTTACTTATGACCATTGGAACTGCGAAAGATAAAGAAATAGCAAGTAAAGAAACTACTCGTCAAGATTCTAATATGAGAGCTTTAAAGTCACTTACAAAAGAATTGGTTCAATTGGAAAAAACTGTTTCTGATGCTTCAAGCCGATTTACCAAATACATTAACGATGACAACAGCGATTCCGTCATCAATATTCATGATGAAAGCTTTTGGCAGAAAAAAATTACATTGCACTTATCGTAAGTTTTTTTTTTAACTTAAATTTAAATATTTAACATAATTATTTCATTTTACTTAATTATGTTATTTTTATTTTCATTTTTATTTTTTAGATTGGTTAATAAATATTTTAAATATATTCATCTTAACTGCTCGTCATCTGTCAAAAATGACATTGAGTCGAAATGTTGGAAACTTGGATTTTATTCTTTGATTGAGCAATTCCGCAGTGCGGTTAATCTTGATCGACGTCGATCTAAAAATAGAATATCTTCATCATTTGTTATTTCGAATCAATTTAGTATATTTCTGGATGAAGCAGAGATCTTTTACAAACGGTTGTTAAAACAGGTTGCTGATGGTACAAAATCGATCGATAAATCGATCGAGAAAAACAAACCTCCGAAGTGGATTCGTTGTGTTTGCTGTTTGGGAGATGTTACTCGGTATCGTTGGACATATGGTCTAGAAGATAAAGAAAGAACCAAAGAATACTGGGCTGAGAATGCTTCACGATGGTATCGTTTGGGAATTCATCTCAATTCGAATAATGGTAGAGAAAAAATTATTTAACATATAATTTCTTATTTATTTTAATCAACTAATATGAATATATATACATATATATATATATATTTTTAATCTAAATTAGGAAAATTCTACCATCATTTGGCCATCCTGGCAAGTCAAGACGAACTTAAAGCACTTTATTATTATTGTAGAAGGTATATAAAAGTGTTGTATTTCCTTTTTTGTATATAAAAAAGAAATAAAATACTAAAAGATTCTATTCAAAGTCTCATGGTCAATACTCCTTTCATGAACACTCGCGAATCTCTCGTTGCGTTGTTTGGACTGGACAACATGAGACAAAAACCAAAAGGAAACCGTGGTTATTTGCAGAGAGACAACTCAAAGCTCAAGAATTATTTGGATAACCAACCTGTTGAAAACTTATTTGTTCGACTTCATGGAATGCTTTTCACAAAAATTGGTCTTGAGCACTTTGATGAAACTTTTCAAAGTTTTTTGGACAAACTATTAAAAACGAATACTTTCCAACGCACAAGTAATTCCAATCGTCACTGGATGGAATTTTATTTATTCCTAGCAGTTATTAATTTATCAGGTTTATATAATTACGGTAATGAAAACTTTATTATCGGCAAAGCACAAGCATCAAAAAACAAGGATGATATACAGTCTTTAGATGCTGATCCGATTTTCGCTCAAGAATCTAGACTCACTTTTATCATTATGAATCATTTCATGTTGAAATATCTCGAGTCCGAAGCATATCAACCTAGACATGAAGTTTCCGAAGGATGGCTTTTATATTGTGAAATTATAATGCTTTGGATGGTAGCAAGCGGTATATTTGATGGTTTTGCTAATGGCAGCAATAATAGTACTTGGGAAAAAATAATGAGAAAGTCAGACTTTCCAGGATCTTGGGAAGTTTTTGCACGTTTCTTGACAAATATTACACATCAAATACCTTCTACGACGAAGGAGAAAATATTGGATTCCGTAAATAATGACATTGAACAAGAGTCGATTGTCCAAATTCAACCTCCAGCATTAGCCGAAGATTGGGAATTACGCGGAATTTCATTATTGCAGTCAATATATGAACAACATAATTTATTTGAACGTGCAAATAAACCTAATATTAATTTTGCTGATTCCGAAGTGGAGGACATCATAAATGTCTTTTATAATGATGAACATAATTTTATTTTGGATCAGGATGAAAAGACTCGTAGAAGAGTTAGAATAATGGAATTGGGATACATATTAACTAAGGTATTTCTACAAATAATATATATATATATATATATATATATTGTTATTAGATTTGATTAATAATTGACATATATTTATTTTAGAAAATTACCGGATTGGATTTTGATGTTAAGAGAGATTCATTCACTGTATCTTCCGATTTAAATGCAAATGCGGAATCTGATGAAATTAAGGAAATAGAACAGCAGACTGCTGAACTGTCTATTGAAGAAGATGATGATGATGCAATTTTATCCACAGAACCTTCTTTCGGAGAAGTCGATGGAGAATATAGTGAAGATAACAATGAAGGCATTATGGAATTGAAAGTATGTTCAATTTATATATGTTATATAAAATAAATAAATATATTATATGTATATATAACTCAATTAAAATTTCCATGTTAGTCTCGTCGCCAAGAATTAGAAGCTCTTTTAGCCGCAAGTCGAAATAATATGCACAGTTCTAAATCAAAATCTTCAGCAAAAAAACTCAAAAAGGTTAAACGAACAGCCTCAGGGAAAAATTTCCTCAATAGAATTGTTCCTGGATATACTTCAATTATCGTTGATACTAATTGCCTTATCGGAGACCTTGAAATAGTAAAAAAAGTCATTCAAAGTGAAAAATGGGTTGTTATTGTGCCTTCGATTGGTATCTACATTTGTTTAGTTACTCTTTTAAATTTTTTTAAACAAACAACTTACTTAAGTTGATTAACAATTTTTAACATTTCATTTCATTAGTCGTTACTGAATTAGACGGATTGAAATATAACCCTCCACCTCTTGGGCATGCTGCACATGAGGCACTTGAATATCTCAATGAAACATTGTCGACTAAAAAAATTAGAATACAAACGAGCAAGGGCAACTACTTAACTGATATTAGTTTTAGCGAAGAATTTGACTTTGGTAATGGGGAAGACAAGAAGAAAAATTTGGACGATCTTATTTTGGGCATTTGTTTATGGCACTCGAAACATAATGAAAAAAATGGTCTTCGTGACAAATCTAACGAGAATAATGAAGTAACTGTGTTGCTTACAAATGATCGAAATCTAAGGGTAAAAGCTCGTGCCAGAGGAGTCAATGTAGTAGGCGTGAAAGATTTAACTGGAATCGTTTGATAAGAAGGGTTACATATTTCATCATTTTTATTGTTATTTAATGTGGATTAGGGAATATAGCACGAAATTTTTTAAGTTCGGTAAGTTGTTTATATCATTTAAAGTATTTTTCTTCATTCGATTAAATTCAGTGTTTTGATTTTTTGATTTTAATTTAGTTATTCCACAAGGGAAATCTTTGATTATAAGATTGGGTTCAGCGTCAAAGAGTTGATGGCATTAATATTTGTGTATTTGCTTCAACTTAACCCATCTAGTTCAAAGGCTTCGAATTATCCACATAAAAAAAATAATATTACCAAATTTTTTGAAATTTTGGTGCCAGTATTTCAAATATGATAATGAAACCGCCAATATAACCTGTAGTTTATGCAGTTTATGCGAATGCATAATATTTTTTGATTATAATATTTATTATAGAACTGAAACTGTATAAGAAATTTTTTTTATCTTGATCATAATAAACAAAATAGTCTATTTATTTTATTTATTTCTTTTTTTTTCAATCTTAATCTTAATGATTAATCAATTGATATTTTTCATAATGATTACATTGTTGAAATGAGTTTATTTCTTGTTAAAGGATAGAACTCGATAATATTAAAGGAGTTCATTCGTTCACCCCGCTCAAGCTAACATATGTATTAAGAATTCTCTAAACAGAAATTTTGCAGTATAGTCTTCCAAGGTTTTACAATATCAAAAGAAGTTGATTAATTTACAAAATGAAAATATCAATTAAGTTCTACTTCATATCAATTTAAAATATTGGATTCTAATATTACTGATTTTTTACTATTTAGATCCACTTGATTATAAACACTAACATCCAAGGACTAAAGTAAAATCAATTTGATTGAAGTATCTCTGAATTATGCACGTATGAAAGTCAATCAATCCAAAATTAGTTATTTTGCACTTTTTGTATGTTTTCCTATCTAATGATTTTACAGAAATCAAAATATCAAACTATTCACGTCACTAATATCAAGTAAAAAAATAATCTTTATTTACCTTTATCTCAATTATTAGTTTAAAGTCATCATCATCCATAACTTATAGGAAATGTGGATCTCTCAATATTCTATATAACTTGGGCTTGAATATGTTGACATTTCGAACATTATGTGAATTATCATCTCTAACTTCTTAAATAGCTATAAAAACAAAAAAATCGGCCAACTTAATTTTGGCGGTTCCTTCATATTCTCTATAAATGCCAACAATCAACTTTTAATATCTTTTTTGCACTCAATTCAATTTGTTGTTGAAAGTTCCTGAAAATTTATTAATCATTCTATATTTTTCACATCAGGATTTTTAAAAAGAAAGTGACATGGTCTGAATCATAAAGTATTTTTTTCATTCAAGACTATAAATTAAGTCGCGTAAATTCCTTGGTTTGCATAATTTTTATTAATAATGTTTCTAAACTGATATTTTTTTTATAAAATATTAGACATGATTCATATAATTTGAAATTAAATAAAATTTTTAATGCATTCAATACATTCTTCAAAAAATACCTTATGGAAATTTTATTAAGGAAGAGCCAATTTCTATTTTACAGATCAACTTCCACAAATCCTCAGCAATCAGGATTATAAGTGTTACATAAATGATGAAGTTAAAGAACTAGAATATAATTCTGAAGTAATGAATTTAATAATTTAGGCTGTTCTTTTGTGTTACTTAAAATAATAAACGAACTATCAAAATTTGAAATTGTATCCATTTAGAATCCAGATCACAACAATAAATATATCTCATTTACGCTTTTGTCTTTTAAAATTCTTTTTTGCCGTTTGAAACTTATTATTTCGCTTTCTAAATTGTGATGGATCAGATATTAATCCGTCAAATAGTTCTTTCTTTTTTCCATTGCGCTTAGATGATAATACCTTTAATTAAAATTAAAAATTAGTGGATTATTAGTATCATTGTTTTTTTGAAGAAAAACAGTGCAAAAATTAAAAAATCTTAATTACTTCGACATCATCATCATTATCATCAGAAATATCTTGACGACGAAATGATTCACGTCTTAAGTTACGTTTATTAAGGACATTTGTACGTTCTTTCTCCGAAGCTTCGACATCTTTGTGTAAAATTGCGACATCATTAAAATCATTCAAATTCTTTTTGGTTCAAAAAAAAAAAATAATAATAATAATAAATTAATCATATAGACATGTATATTTTGAAAAAAAAAAATATTATATATATATATATGTAAATAAATACTTCAAATTCATCCTCAAATGTTGTATTCTTTTTTAATCTCTTTAATTCTTTTTTAGAAAGACTTAATCTAATAAAATTTTCTTCTTCATAACGTAATCTCTCTTCTAATTCAGTATTATCATCCTTTTGAGAAGAACCTACTAAAGTTGATTCTTCAGGACGATCATCGTATTCATCTATTAAATCTTTGATTAATCGAGATTTTGATGCTCTTGACAATAATCTTAATTCTTCTTTTTCTCGTTTGAATTTGGCACCTAAAACCATAAAAATTCAATACATTTTAACTAAATTATATTGTTTAAAGAAATATATATATATATTCTTCTTTCAATTATAATAGTACCAGTATCTTCCTCGAAATGAACGGGAGCCAATTTTGGTGCTTTATAAATTCCATTATTGTTAACATCAGCAGCTAAATATAAAATTAATATTTGTTAAATTATATTTTTCATCCTTATATTTGATTACAAATAAAGTGTTACCATCATTTGAGTCTTCAGTTTTAGATACAAGGTCTTGTGGATTAGGCTTGAAGGACAGAGGATTCGATACTACATAAAAGACCTTTATTAACTTTCAATAATTTCTTCTAATCTCATCACTTTTGTTTAAACTTACATGCCAAACTGTTTCCACTAGTACTTGATAATTTAACATCATCATCATCATTAATAATAGTAGCTCTAATTAATTTATCAATTTGATATTTTAATTTTTGTTCTAAAGGTTTTAATTTTTCCAGAACAACCCTTAATTCAATTAAATTTTCAACAACTGGATGATTTTGTATTGATTGACCATTTAATTTCATATAAATTATAAAAGTTAAAGATGTAATATATTCTAATAATGTATGATATTTTATTTCAAGTAATGATATTCCTTGATTCGTTTTTATTTCATGATTTTTTACTCTATTTAAAAAATAAAGAGTAAAGAAAATTTTTAACCAAGAAAATTTGATTAATAAAAATAATCTATTAAAAAGTTCAAAATAAAAAGTTACAAAATAAAATATAAATTTTTACCTTGATGTAATAGAAGAAAGTTGTTCTTTTACTTCTTTAATTTTTAATTTTAATTCATTTATTAATTTAATAAATTTAGAAATTTCATTAATATTATTTTCTTGTGATGATGAGTTATTATCTTTAATTTCTTCTGAAATATTGTTAATTAAAGAATTTTCGCTCATTTTTTTTAACAAAAGGAAAGAAGATTTCGAGAAAAAAAAATTTTTTTTTTTTGGTTAAAGTTTTTAATAATTTTTTTTTTATTTTGTAATACAATGAATGATCTAATCGATCAACGTCTATTCATAATCTAAAAAGTATGCAATAATAGTTTTTATATTGTAAGTGATCGTAAATAATCGTAAGTAATCGTAAATGAATTTTAATAAATTATTCATACCTTCATCTTTAAGGGTGGGAGGAATATTTGTCAAAAAAAAAAAATTGTGGAAAAATGCGTTATGATATATCCAAATATAACATAATCTAGAATACTCCTTTGTCACATGATCTGTCATACCTAGTTGATTATAAATACCACTTCAAATCGAAAAATCGAAAAACTTTTTTTAATCTTAAAAAATAAAAAATATATGGTAAATATTTTTATCAAGACAAGACATATAAAAATTATTATTATTATTATTTTTTTATATTAATAATAATAAATTAATTTAATTTAATTTATTTAGGCAACCCCATTTCTTATTGGAGTAGGAATAGCAGTAGCAGCAACAGCTGGTAGATTTGCAGTAAAAGCTGCACAGAAATATAAACCATCATCAGGTCCTATTATAGGAAGTGTGGGTGGTAAATATTATAAAGGAGGGTTTGATAATGAAATCAATAAACGGGAAGCTGCTTTAATTTTAGGTTTAAGGTATGTTTTTTACTAAGAATTTTTTTTTTTTTTTNACTTATAAATTTTTTTTTAAAAAAAATTTCATAAATAGAGAAACAGGTATTAATAGAGCCAAAATTAAAGAGGCTCATAGAAGAATTGTGTTGCTTAATCATCCTGATCGAGGTGGTTCTCCTTATTTAGCAAGTAAAATTAATGAAGCAAAGGAGTTTCTTGAAAAAGCTGTTAGATCATAACGCAAAAAAAAAAAAACATTTGTCTTTTCACAAAAATTTTAATATTAATGTAATTGATTGTTATTTATCTCACAAGAACACACAAGAAAAAAAATAGAAATAGTTAAAATAAGTCATAAATTACAAAGAAGATTATTGATTCCAAAACATTACTTATAATGAATCTGAATTGATGACCGATAATGTATTTATTTGTATTATTTTCCATATTTCAAAAAAAAAGAAAATTATCATTTCAACACAAGTAGTTGAAGCATTTTACATCATTTTCCACTCTAACTGTTAAATAACGGTAAAAATTGAGGATATTAATTTATTATTTGCACAGTTTATGAATTGGAGCAAATTGTATTAGATATGATCAATAAATAAATATACCTAATTTCATGCTTAATATGTAAAATGTGATAAACATGTAGATTATTTAATAAAATGAACCTTTATTTCAAATAAGATAATAAAAAAATTGAAAAGGTCAGAAATAAATAAAATAATAATTATTTATATATTATTATTGGATGAGGGGACTGAGATATCAGTCGAAGACCAATATCCCCAATCCAATAACTGAGTTATAGTTCGGTCTTACTAACATTGATTTCAATGGTGAGATGTCTAATAAAAATATCGGTCATTAAAACCCCGCATATAGCACACATTAGCGAATTAGCAATGAAAATTGTTGGAATTGGTAAACGATTCATTTGAATTTTGCTGAAATTGGATTTGCGAATTATCGATAACGACATTAGGAGAAGTAAAAGCTTGTTGAGATTGATTTTGTATATTTAAATTATCTAAATTCGCATAAAGAGAAGAATGCGGTGAAGAATTTGGTATAATAATAATTTTGAATCCTGGAATTTCAAATCTGAAAACTTCAGAGTGACTTTGAGAAGAATTATAAATCATGTTGAGTGAACTAAGTGGGGAAGAGATATTGTAACTGTCATATGGCGCCGCGTGGTTCCAGTTGTAGTATTTTCATCACTTGCAAAAGAGAACATAGGTTGTTGTTGTTGAGTATAAGATGTTGGAACAATATCATTATTCATTGAAGAATAGTTGATGTAGTTGGAAGTGTTATGTAGCATTTGACGAAAATTGTTCCGTTTGGAATGATTGGGGTGATTGTAAGTTATTAGAATAACTCGCGTTATTTTCGTTATTTTGTTATAATCCATCGTATATTTAGTTTATATTGAATAGCAAGAATGTTTCGATCCTTTAATGGTCTAAAATTTTTCAGAGGCTTATGAACAAATAATTTATATTGCTGTAGTTATGAAAAGATGCATTTTTTATATATTTTTTTTCGCATATTTCACAGTGTCGAACATTTTAACGAATTTAACGTGTCAAAAATGTAAATAATGCAAATGTATCGTTCTTGACCTGTGCGACGGGTCTGACTTGACCCGCATAATATATTTTACAATAAGGGGGCCAGGTCCGATACTTTGCCTAAATAATACTTATGACTAACCAATCATCGTCAAAGGGGGGGAACTTGTGAAAAAAAATCAACTGGTTTATTTTATAGAATGAAAAATGAAGAATATTTAGAATATTTATAAATATTATATTAAATTCATTAAAAATAGATATATATTATTACGCAAAATTATCCAACTTTTAAAATGGTATAAATTGATGAATTTTCACTTTAAAAAGAAAAAGTAATCGATAACCTTTAAAGTTAAGATCAATATATAAAAATTCGATTAATTCGCAATATAATTTGGTTAGAAGTTCCGCACTATATAGCATACAAAAGTAAAAAAAATAAACCCATTTTTACATTCTTTAAAACACAATGTATGTCAAATAATTACGTAATATAATATTTCTAAAAGATTCGTTATTTATCAAGGAACAGATGGTACAATTTATAATAGATAAATAATAATGAGCCGCATTTCGTCTTTATATGATCACCGGATGCCGAAAATTTTTAAAAAATGCTAATACTTTCTTATATTATAATTCCGCTCTGCGATTGATCGAATTTAATTTATTACGCTCCATTCAACAAAAAACCAGCCAGCCGATCTTTAAATACGTATTGTATTTACTGAGATGTAAAATATTGGTTAAAAAAATGTGTAAAAAGACCAGCTTATCTGGCGAAGCAACTTTTCATAACTACAATGATATAAGTTATTTGATCATAAATCTTAATCTCGAAACATTTCTCTCTATAAAAAAAAAAATTTTTTACATTTTATATAAACATACACAAAATAAATGCCTTCAAATTTTTGACGAAATTCTCGAATTCTTAGAAGAAAATAAAGCTACTTTACATTCATGTTTGTTAGTAAATCGTCTTTGGTGTAAAATTTCTGTTAGAATTTTACAGAAAGATGTTTTAAGTTTCAAATATGCATCGTATCAAAAATTCTTAAAAACGCTGATCTCTTGTCCAAAATGAATCAAAAAAAACAAGATTCTCTTTCGACGGATTCGACCCAAAATATCAAAATATCCGTTGTTTAATTACGTATTATTCTGCAAATATCTTTCAATTCATGAAATTGATCTGTTGATTCAACACGTTCTTCAAAATCAACAAACTACTAATTCAAGAGATTAAATTATGCCAAATATTTATCACTTCAAGAAATATTAAAATGTTTATGAAGCAGATTCCCTCTTTAAAAGAATTAAAATTTTCAAGAGTGAATATCATTAATATTACTTTTTCACAAAATGGTTTAAAATATTTATCATTAATACAATCGTATGAGTACAGATAGATTATACCTTCATTAACGAAACATTCAAAAGCTTTAATTAAATTAGAGGAGAAAAATTATGTACCACTATCATTTATTAATATGTTTAAATAATTTAAAGAATTCGGTTTAAATATTCGTGAAAATAAATTACATTATGATACTTTCTCATTATTAAAAATTTTAAAATTTCAATATTATTACCCGAAATCGAGAATTTTGATCAAATTTTAGAAAATTACGGAAAAAATATAAAAGAATTACATATCGGAAATTCTTATTATAATACATTTAACTTTGGCGATAACTAAATTTTATTTGTCCAAACTTGAAATCGTTACGAACAGAATTTATTGAATAAAAGAAAATTTCGGTAGTTTTTGCAAAATATTCTAACACACAAAAAAAAAAAGAAAAATCTAGAATAACAAAAAACATCACGCAAAAATCTTCTTCATATCCTTCCTAAATATGGTGTAGGCCGCCACTGTTATATTTCACTATACTTTATCCGTAATTTGTAAAAACTCAAACGAATCATTTAATTCTTTAATAACTTACATGTCCAAAACTTTAGTATTTCTATAGTGAACATACGGCCAAATATTAATCATATCTTTATGGAGTAACAATGAAGGCAAAAATAGGACCAAAAATATATATAATGTATAGGACGATGCCTGAACTGGTATAATATTGGTAGATTCATTTGATAATAAATAAATTTATTTATTTTAAATAAAGATAATAAAGACAAAAATATCGTGAATTAATAAATGTAATAAAATATCCAAATAAATCTAACATTAGTAAATAACGTAAAAAACTACTAGTAGTAGTCATGAAATTATTAAACATTGATAAATAATTCGTTTGGATTTTGCTGAAAATGAGTTTGCGTGAACAAATGTAAGTTAAAAAAAAAAGGAAAGTTTTTGAGGGTGTATATATACTACCTCATCGTAACTAATAAAATAGACTCGGTGGCTTGTTATAAGTTTATTAGTAGCGAAAGAAATGAATGTTTTGACAAATGCTTTGGCGTATAGCAGGTTGATCATACAAATTGTTTTATAAACACGTATATTATTTTATAATGGGCAACCCTATGGAGAGCCAGTTCGTGGTCGTTGTCAGAAAACATAAAAGTGTCTATGGGTTTAAGAAAGCGACCCTGAAAGAAGCAAAGGATATATTTCAGAATATTGTCCATTGGTACTAAGTTATGGGCAGTGCAAGTTTCCCGAAACGATACGAGATTTGAGCAACTTTAAATGCTTTTATAATCTTTGATGCGGGATTTTTTAATTCTTTTCCATTTAACAGATGAATCAGCACTTATCCACGTCGTTGTTCAAGGTATAAGGACTACTTTGTAAATCTGATGAAACTAATTCTATTAATATCGACAAAAATCTCAATTTAGGGAAACTCAATTTAGGGAAAGAAAAGTGGTGTTTCGTATGTGACAAAACGTTCGAAAAAAATGATCATGTAAATAATGATCTTAGACACAATATTTTAGTAGACAATAAAATATCGTAGAATCTTCTGGAGATATGATAGACGGTTATTATTATAACGATCAAGACTATTATGAATTTGAAAACGATGAAAATGAGAACGAAGCCGAAGAAATTGAATCACCTTTTGATGATTACATGATTTTTACAATCAAGAAAAATATAATGAAAGCTTATAAAGTACTCTATGTATGAGAAGGCTAATTAATTCATTTTATTCACTGCTAATAAAAAATTTCTTGGCACTTTTCCGAGACCGCTGGAGATTTCTTGGAAAAATGGATCGGCAGTTTATTTGTCAAAAAATGAGACTTAGGTACTAATAACACGTGAGGAGTTCGTGAACTGAGTTCAGAATCATTAACTATTATTCATAAATAGAAATACTAATTAAACTAACCCTGTAATACGTATTTTCTGGAAAACTCGGTGAATATGATACATTTATGAGAAAATAACTTAACTTGGATAATTTTCATGTTTGAGGCTATAAAGTCCGTGAATATGATACTACATTTACGAAAATAACATGGAATAAAAAAACACGGAATAACTAGTAAATTATTATATATGTATAAGCTAATTTTGAGTTGTGTATTGTAACGTGTAGTATGTCTCCGTAATTTATTACGGATTGTTATCTTAAAATAGATCGGTTTAACCAGTGATCATGGCAATTAAACAATAGGAATGTCTCATGTTAAAATGCTCCATTTTTTTATTCATTGTTTACGCTAACTGAAATTAAGATATAAACTTTTATGAATATCTTCCATTCCCTTTCAGTTGGTAATGGTTTCATGTCTCTAGACACAATAGATGAGGAATAATATGTCAAAATGTCAGCAAATTGGCTTGCCATATTGCATCCAATGATCTTAGAAAGATGAAACATAGCTGAGTGATAGACGAAGAGTAATAATACACCAAAAATGTCAAAATTTTCTGCAGCAGTGATACTAAAATTATGATAAATTTTAATAAATTTAAAAAATTTAAATATTATTTGTGTGCATAATTATATGTTTAAGTTTATTGATCCTTAGTGCTTATGGTTTAATTGCTTCCAAAGTTTATTTGTACAAGTAATAGACGTTTTACTACTAACTTCTTTGATACCAAACGCATGTGCATACCAAATACAAGCTTTTAAAGAGAGAAGTAAACAATTAATTTTTCCATTTAAATTACTAATTAACTATTAATAGACTAATTCAAATTTCTATAACATTCCTTTTACAGCATTTTTTTTACATATGTGAATAAAGCAAATGCAGATCAGTTTTTTGAAAGTAGTATAATAGAAATGCTTGAAATTGTATTACAATGAATAATCATTCTTCCCCCCCTTTTTTTTAAACACGTTTTTTTTTTTTTTTGAAACATGTTTGTTTTTTTTTTCTNTTTTTCTTTTTTTTTGAAACATGTTTTTTTTTCTTTTTTTTTTTGAAACATGTTTAATAAAAAGAAAAGTTATTAATATTTAATAAATAATCAATATATAAATGACGAGAAACATATATAAATGTTCTGTAATCCCCCAAGTAAAAAATTTAACATTTTTCAAGCCTCTTGGCAAAAATGTTCAATTTAAAGGTGTTGATCATTTTTATTGTTTAATATCCATTTTGTCTCATCTCATCGCGAGATATATCATCTCAAAATATATCAACCATTAATATGGATATTTTCCCTTAACTGATAATCATGTAATGATAGTTTATGTTAAATCAACAATGATGTTAAGGGAAAATATAACATAATAATTAATTACAGCAATGAGTCTTTAAAGTAAGTTTAAATGATAGTATTTTTTTAGTGAAATATATTTAGGAAATACTAATGGATTTGTTGAATATAACATATCAGATGAAGAAGAAGGAATAGCAGCAACATGGTGTCGGTGTAAGTATTTTTACAAATAACAATTAGTTTTTTTTTCAAAAATCTACACTAATAAACGTATTATCATATACCTTAATACCAGTTGCAACATATAGTTTCGAGAATTTTATTTATAGGGATTTCTTGTGATTTACACAAATAAACTTCTAGTGA